GTGGGATGTCCAGAAGAACCTAGACTACTAAATGCCAATGAACCCAGTCTTGGTGAGGAATAATGCTAAAAGTGGTTAATTTAATCTTAATTCAACTTTAGCTTCAGACTCAACATAATTTAAAACAAATGTTTCTGCGATTACTCTTCTATCCATATTCTTATATCTATTCTATGAACCATGTCTGTATTTTATCTAAATTTACAATCATTGATCCAATTTATTGCAATAATTTGCGTTTTTTGCAAAACTGAACGTAGAATGAGGGCTGAACTTATTACTGGGATAAAATGGTATTTGTTCTCCAACTCTGGTCTAGGCGTGTCTCCAGCTAGCAGGCCTCCCTGGAGTTCGATGGAAAACACGCTAAACGTTTACATTCATCCCAGACATAGAGATGCACTTATTCAACAGATAAGATCAATCCCGTCTTGTATTCCGTCGAACCTTCTCCCATTCCTGGATAATTTTATACCGGTGATTCAATCCCTCCACTCAACTGGCAAAATTAATTTCAAATCGAAAATTGGCGAAAACGCAAAAAATTTACATTACACGAGGTTGTGTTCTTTCTTCTAATTTTTTTTGTTTATTATAATTAAATTTTTATTCAATATAATAATCTATCTTTATTTTTAGATCTCATCCTGAGTCTGCCTTTAGCAGTGGAGAGGACAGTCCTTTAATCAGGAGAGGAGACAGAGAAATAAACCGAGGATTGGAGAGGGGAAGAGGGATGGATAGAGGGATGATGGAACTCGAGATGAGAATGCAGGGAGGAGGAATATATGAGGAGAGTAGAAGGATTGGAAGAGGAGGAGGAGGAGGGGGGAACTATAGTGATGGTGAGGATGGTCAGAGTAGATCAAGAAATCCTCGGAGCGGATATTATAGTGACGGAGAAAGATCTATAGGAGGGCGGAGGCGAATGGATTGTGTGGCGGAAGAACATCCTGATCAAGATCACGGCGGAGAACATATATCTGTCCTAACCCCACTGACTGAGTGAATCGAACTCTTCAGTAACCCTTCCTCCAACCTGGAGTCAAGAACTTGAATTACGACTCCATCTGGAATTTTTAGACTCGCAGCTGTGTCTTCAACCAAAGAAAAGAGTCTCAGAAAAATGATCTGAATTCTTCAATGTAGAAGATAAAGTTTCTAAGATTCTGTGGTCTAAACGCCACACTGTGTGTTACCCTTTAATAATCCGTTAACTGTACTCTTAATGATAAATTGAGATAACTAAATCCCGGTTAAATGTCATGTATGCTTTTTCAAGTATATTCTAACCAATAGAAGCTTTAGTCATGTGCCATAAACGCCTTTATTCATGCAGAATCCTACCCTTCAATGGGACTGTAAGCGTAATTTCAAGCTGTCAATGCCCGATTTACAACGGTACCCTTGAAAGCTTTTCTGATGAAATTAGATGTTTTCGTTTATTTTAACTGTTTATTTTTATTTGTGGTTTCTCCGCAAAAGTTACATCTTTCACATTTTTTATCAGATGAAGGTTTAAAGGATTTCGTTGTAAATCGGGCATTGCTATCTCCAGGGTCAATTGGAATTACACTTTCAGTCCCTTTAAACTCTAAATTTTTCTTTTAACTTTATTTTGACTTCTAGTCTACGAATTCTTACGGCTTATTTAAATGAAAGCATTCTAAATTGTATTTATATAATAGTTCCTATTTTCACATCAATACGTGTTGATTAAACCAACCTAAATTGTTTAATTGATCTCAGGGTTTTATTGAAAAGTTAAGATCCCGTTTCAAGCAACTAAATTTCGTTGTAAATATTTGAATGAAACGCTTTGTTATTATAATGAAACTTATCTATGTATATTAGATATTATTATTTTTATAGCTTACTCAACACACTGCGAATATTCTCGCACATTAAAATATTGTATTTAGACTTGTACATACACGTACATAAATCAGATTTACGAATGCGATTACTTGTACTCTGATGTAGATTTATTGAATTTGATTTCAGGAATTTCAAAATCACATTGTTAAATTATTTTTAATGATATCTTGTAAAATATAAAATAAACTGCAGTATTAAAACCAGACGTTTTTTTGTGAGGTTTATACAGGTTGCAAAGATAAAATAATTAGACAATTGGAATTTGAGGCAAGACATCAGTTAATTTAGCCACCAGTAGATACGTTTAGGGTAGCAAACTGGTGTTCAGTATGAATTTTTTCAGGGTAATAGACTGCAGTACGGTTTTGTATTTATTACAATTAAGTTAAACACAATGATTTGATATGCGATACTGTTTTCTTTAATTGGGATTCTTAAATGCGAACCAAAGTGAAGTTAGTTAAACTTTTAGAAATAATGTCTGTATTTGTTACATTGCTTTTATTTTTTGTTGTTTGGTCCGAAACTATCGTAAAACTATCATAAAAATCGACCATATAGACTTTACAGATTCATCAAGATATGCAACTACCTTTCTTCTACCCAAGGTACTAATGCAGGGAAAGTTATTTCAGAGGTGTACGCATCTTTTGTACTGCAGTGTATTGTCTTTGGGCGGTAATGTAAACACAAGATGGATGTCGAAGTCTAAAATGGGATCCATATTTCACATAAAAAAACTAATGAAATATTCTGGTCATTGGAAACTATTATGTGAATTATCAAAATTATCAAAATCAAATGCTTTTAACCTCCTCGGATACTAAACGAACACTGATGCATTATTATCAAATATCAAGTATTCGTTTCGGCATTTTTTACGATAAAAATAACCCCCCCCCCCCCCGCCACGCCGGTTTGTCGAATGTTGAGAAAACACGTGAAGCTGTTAAGTGCTGCATGATCCCGATGTCTCGGACCGGTCTCATACAATGTGGTGAAATAAAATTCTGCATTTTGCACAGGTTAAACTTCGTCGGACATTCACTCCATGCCCGCTCCTCAACACGGGCGGTTCTAAATTAATCTTTGTATGCAACAATTATAATTCAGTGCTGTGTTGGGACCGGAGAAGTGTAGAATGTGAACAATGATTAGAATTATACTTCTTGCTTTTACTCTGGGTTCAGTTGGAAGCAGTCAGTACTTTATCACTGAACCTGAGGATGTTACCGCAAATATCGGAGATGAAGTTATCCTAAAATGTGTTGTCGGAGATAGAGAAGGAATCCTACAATGGACCAGGAACGGGTTCGGTTTGGGAACAGATCCTGAGCTGCCAGGGTATCCTAGATACAGTTTAACCAGTGATCTATCCCTAAAGATTAGTCCTGTATCAGATCAAGATGTCGGAGAGTTCCAATGTCAAATTGGAGCCGGAGATACAAGTCGTCCTCTAAGATCTAAACCTGCGAAAATCTCGGTTCAGCTACCGCCTGGAGTACCAGTAATCCTGGGCGGAGAAACCGGAGTTATTTCCGTCAATGAGGATTCTATCGAGATCTTAGAGTGTGAATCTGCCGGAGGTAAACCTGCGGCTAGGATAGATTGGAGAGATGAGTCAGGGAAACCGTTCAAACTTGACATGGTTGATACAAGAACAATGAAAGAAGATAAAAACCAAACCTTTAAAACTATATCTAGTGTGAGGTATAAGGTAGAGCGAGCCATGCACAATAAAACAGTAATCTGTTCAGCAATTAATATTGCAAGTACAGAGTCTAAGAACACTAAAGTTAGATTAAACGTAATGTATAAACCCAAAGTATCTCTGGGTATAAACTCTGGTGCAGGTTTGATCAGGGAAGGAGACAATGTCATCCTTCACTGTGAAGCAGACTCCAACCCTGCTCCGTACTCATACTCTTGGAGAAAGAACGGAGCTATTCTACCTGGAGAACTAACTCCTTATTTGGTTGTAGAGAAGATAGACAACAGTTTTCATTCAGCTCGTATAGACTGTGAAGCTAGAAACTCTCTGGGTTCAGATACGGCTGGGAAATCTTTAACCCTGCAGTACGCTCCAATCATGGTTCTCCAACCTCGCTCCGTGACCGGGAAGGAAGGAGACGAGGTTACTCTAAGCTGTGGAGCAACTAGTAATCCTCCAGCCAGATATATCTGGTTCAAGGATTCAAACCCCCAACCAATCGAGTTCTCAGATAAGATTAAAATCCTGGTCTCCGAATACTCCGTAGGAACGTATAGATGTGAGGCTGTGGTTGAAGGATTCCAGAATGCAGAATCTAAACCTGCAGTTGTCTCCATCCTGGAGAAACCTAGGATTGGTACGGTGGAGACTCAGTTCGGGTATATTGGAGAGGACTTGGAGATTATCTGTCCAGTTGTATCTAAAACTCAATCATTAAACATCACCTGGTACTATAGAGGTAAGACACAGCTTACATAATCTAGTTTTCTTATCTTATTCTAGAACTAGAACCCGGAAAAGCTTTAAACCCAATTCTCTCAAATATTTGAAAATCTTGAGCTTTTAGAATTAAAATAACTAAGCACTCTCATCAGGGAAAAGTTTGCAAACTAATATTTAGAATTCACAGACTGTAAAATTTATTTGAGTAAATTAAATAGTTCTGCACAGATGGTACCCAGTTCATTCCTTTTAAGTTTCCACGTGTACCTTCCATATCCTATATATAATATATATAAAGTACGGATTTGTAGTCAAAGTAATATGTTTACCATTATCTGGTTTCAGTCCAGTTTATTATTCTTTTACACTTTTTGTTCATTGTCCTTGTTACATCCGGAGAATTGACGATGCTTAAAGTGATTCTTAATGATGTATTTTTGAAATTGAATCTGGAATATAAAAACACTGTCTGGTCAGTTGTAATGTGTACATTGGGAATTATTTTACGAAATGTACTGCATTTGCAGTTGTATAATGTATTTGTACAGTGTAGTGAAAGTTCTATTTTATAGATAGTGTTAGGTAAAAAATTGTAAACTGTATAGTAGAAAGTAGTGACGTAATTCAAAGTGCATATGATTAACATTATATTGTACATATAGGGTTGTACTTGTATGTACATATATGAATTGTAAAAAAAGCTTTACATTGTAAGTGTCTTGTGTACTACCGATGGTGCAATAAAAAGTTGTTTAAGTATTTGTACAATTTTTATTATAAAGTGATCGGTCAGCTGTACAATGTATAATGTACATTGCAGATAAAGTAGAATATGGGGTTTTATGTGCATTTTACACGGTACACCACATGATCAAGGGTTGCCGCGTGTTTATTTAAACATCAGGGTTTCCATTGCAAACATTTAAATTACCAATATAAATATTTTATGTATTTTCCAGTCATTCAACTTAAATAAAGTTCAAAGTACATGGAATAAGGAACGGAGGGAGGGGTGGGGGTGTAATGCCTATACAAGTGGGGGTTTTGTTAAAAACAATATATCCCGTATGGGTTTAAAAGGGTTATATTTGTCTAGTTGAAAACACTAGAATATTTAACACGTGGGACTAAAGTTAATGAATAAACAGCTGTACTGTTCAATATAGCTGTTCAACCCAGACACATTTTTTATCTTAAAATAAGAAAATAGATGCTTATTAATGAAGAGGGTTAAAAACTCGAACTTCTGAATTTGATATAGAGGTAGGTGTAGAGAAAGTTTCCACGTGGAATTACTGAGCAACATTTAATTCAAGAGAATTACAAATTAAGGAGTTGGACTGCAACAGTGTTTAGGCAACACACAATATTTAAAGGGACTGAGAACGTTATTCTAGGTCAACAACGTACCCTTTCAACCTTTGTCTGATCATGGATGAATGAGCAATCTGGGTTTTCTAGTTTCAAATTTGATTCATTTCAATTGTGGTTCTATGGTTAAGTATTTTACGAGTTGTGAGCAGAAAATTTGAAAAGTTGTGAGAATTAAACACTCTTAAAGATGGAATAACGACTTTATCTTCCATATCACTGATCGGATAAAGGTTTTATCGGTACAGTTGTGAATCGGACATGACCCTCTTTTTTGTTGGAGGGTCACTTTAAATCATTTCTACAGTCCCTTTAAAGACAATAATATACAATATACATATTATATAAACATATTGGGCACAGGACGGTTTTTCGATTGAAAAGGTTTAGTTTAGGCGCAGTTTAAGGATTTTAGAAGATATTGTATCACTAGTATATAATGGGTATAATAGCAAAGATATATTTCTATTGATAATATTGATGTACGATGTTTAACCAGTTTGGTTCTTTACCTTTTTAAGAGATTTTGAAATATATGTATACCAAATAGTTTAACTATCTTTTCAGCGTTTCAGATTATGTTGCAAAAATTATCAAATTTTCTGTATATCAATACAGGGGGGGGGGTTAGTGGATGAATCAGACGTACTTTCAACGTGTATAGGAAAGAGTGGGGGGGGGAGGGGCAAAACCTTTACTTTCTACACAATGTGTTTTGAGATTCAAATTACAAAATATTTATCCATTCCATACCAAGGATTCAATCATTAAATAGCATATCAGTTTTCCTCAACATCCAACTGAATCCTTTTTTGAGTTTTCTTAAGCTTGAAAAAATTCCAGAATACTAAAAGATTATCTGAATTCAAAATGATTTCCTGAATTCAAAACGATTTCCTGAATCTTGAAAGATTTCTTAAAATTATAAAAGTTTTCTTAAATCTTAATTTGTGAATGAAGAATGTAGCTTTTTCTAGTTCTTTTCAGTTTAGCCTTGTTCCTTCTAGATCTGGATTTTCTATACATTTTTCTTGATGATTTTTCTGAAATATGAATTATTTTCGGAATCTTAAAGGAAGCAAGAGTCATTGTCACAAACTTTGATTTTCTAATTCCTATATCTTTGCAACCTAATGTCGTAGACCTTAGATATTTCAAACTATAAATTTTGTTGATCAAATCTAAGTTTTAAATATGAAAGGTTTACACCATCAGGTTAAAGGGATATAGGGATGAGCAAATTTGCCACTTAATTTCTTTATCCTCCAAACTTCCTGAGAAACCTGGACATTTTTCTATAAATTCAGGCCAACCTTGCAATATTGGTTGAACCAAACCAATTCTTGTGTTTCAAATCAAAATGAGTATATAGTATATTTATATTTTTCACATATCAAATCTGATAATAAACAGCAAGAACGGAATCTTAAACTATTGGATGAGGGGAAGGAGAAGGGGGGGGGGTTAAAGGATCCGGTTACGACGGAATGCTTTGAACCACGTGGATTGATTTTACTCCTTTACTTCACACCTGGAGTTGTACTTTCTCTTTATTTTTGTCTAATTCTGAGAATTTAAATTCTAATTTTTAGTTTTTCGTTTCTAGTTTCTTTGTTTGTATATCCTCCTTTTTCTTTAAATCTAACTATTATCCATATATTCCTAAATATATTTTTCTTTACATCTAACTATTATCCATATATTCCTAAATATATTTTTTTTTGCATCTAACTATTATTCATATATTCCTAAATATATTTTTCTCTTCTCTATATATCCCTCTAAGCACCTTATTATCGTATTTATACATATATTTACCTCATTTCCTAATTCAATATATATATATATATATATTATATATTACTGAATATTCGTATACGAACAATATTTAAGTTCCAGGAAACATTTTGTAAAGTTTGTTTAAACAATCCTTAACCCTTGGTGATTGGGTTTCAGATTTAGATAAACAAGGGGGATTTTCAGGGATGGGGAACCCAAGGAGTGGGGGGTGGGGTCAGGGGGAATAAGCCTGGTCTGGGTCAAATTGGGGAAACAGCATTTGCTTTCCATGGGTTGTTAGTATATAAAAAAGAGAAACATCAGTTGCATAAAATGTGTGTGGATTGTGGAAGCTTAAATAAGAACTTAAGTTAAGTGTTGCGAAGGGAAGAAGTTTTGTTAAAATTAATTATTTAATTGACATTGGAGCCAGCGTTAGTGTACAGTATATAATAGTTTTGTCGGAAAGCTATAATTTCCAACATGAAACTTATAATAAACTTGCCACAAACTTGAATAATCCACATGATTTTGCTTGTTTAAAGAGAAAGGTTTCAAAATCTTAAAAACCTCACCCCAATATTTGAATTTTAATTCTGATCACACTTATGTTCCTTGTACAGAATATTTAATATATTCATAAATNTCTTGTCCGGGTTCGATGTTCTTTAGTTTAAGTTCTACCCTTTATGAAATCTATCTATCTAAAATTCAAATTAAATGTGTTATAATAATAAATGAGTTAGTTTAAATGATTGATGTTTTTTTCAACATTTAGTTTGCAAAGCTGTTCTGTAAAGCATATGCTTTTATAAGTTATTTTGACTCTGAAACTTTTTCTTTTCAAAATTGACTAAATAGTTTATAAATTAAACTAATATTCTTTTTTCTTAAATGCCCTTTAAAAAAAAAAAAAAAAAATGTATATTATTCTAGGACGAGTTCTGCAGGAAGGCGGAAAATATCTGATGGGACGGAAATCTGAGGATGAAAAGATTGAAAGTATTCTCCGGATCCGTAAACCAACGGAGCTAGATTTTGGAGAGTACGGATGCAGAGCAGACAACGATATTGGAGCCGACTATACCTCCATCCAGGTCCAGATACGCTCCAACTTTAATATATTGGAGTACCTACCCTTTATAGGGAGCGGAGTGGCAGGTGTGTTCCTGGTTTTAATTATACTACTAGTAGTTTACTGCTGTAGGAGAAAGAAACCCGAAAATCATCTCATTTCAATGAACTCCGAAAAACCGATCATCCGAGCAAGTCGGGATTTATCGAATAAGAACCTGGATTTAGAGGATGGATATCGTCCAAATATAATCGATATCTACGGGAATGAACCCTCCCAAGACCGGCGACTGCAGAACGTGCACCCAGAGTTTGCCGGTTACTATGGGAACCCACATCTCAACTCCCGACGGGACGAGGATAGGTTATCCTCTAGATCTAGTTCTCAGAGTACTCTACCTCCAGCTCTAGAATCCTGGAGCAGACCTCCACCCAACGGCGGACGGAGATCCTTGTCTCCGAATGCATCTGAAGGAGTTGATATCTCCGCCAACTCAACACTCAGCTCAGTACTCTCCGGAGGGTCTAGATCTAGCAGGTATAGCATTTAATTATTTTATATTCTTTCGTCCATCCTTTTTATCATCTATTTTATCTATATATCAAGTGTTTCATTCTAAATTATTCACATTGAACATTTTTATTTATTCACTAAACTGCATAGTAATAGAAGTCATAAACTGTAAATGCAGTTGCTATATGTTTTATTAAGTTTTGAGTTTGTTTTATTGTGCTTCTGACATTTTGACTTAATAATGATTAATGTTTGACGGAAAAAAATCCTTCAACTGCGTTTTCTCGAATGTTCTCTAGCCAGGCAAATGTGTACAAAGTTCTGACTAAAATTCATGAATCATCGAGCTGACATTTTTCATTGTCGTTTATACCGGCACATGTGTACCAAGCTATATATACAAGACAACTTGTAGAAAATAGAAATATGCAGAATAGAGTAGGATAGGGGGCAAATGTAGGGTTAATCTAATATAAACATTATTCATTCCCTTTCAAGTATGCATTCATATATCTTAGATATGATGAACTGCATGCAGGGTTTGTAATGCACTTATACTACAGGTTATCTTGAAGTGCATATCCACAAAGTTTTATGTATTCACAATTCACATGAAAAACTTTGCAATTCACATGAAAAACTTTACAATTCACATGAAAAACTTTACAATTCACGAGTAAATCTTTACTATTTAGATGCAAAACTTTACTATTTACATGCAAAACTTTGCATTTCACAGATAAAACTTTACAATTCACATGTAAAACTTTACAATTCACGAGTAAATCTTTACTATTTAGATGCAAAACTTTACTATTTACATGCAAAACTTTGCAATTCACAGATAAAACTTTACAATTCACATGTAAAACTTTACAATTCACATGTAAATTTTTACTATTTAGATGCAAAACATTACAATTCATATGTAAAACTTTGCAATTCACTTGTAAAACTTTGCAATTCACATGCAAAACTTTGCAATTCACATGCAAAACTTTGCAATTTAGATGCAAAACTTTGCTATTTACATGCAAAACTTTGCAATTCACATGTAAAACTTTGCAATTCACATGCAAAACTTTGCAATTCACATGCAAAACTTTACAATTCTAAAATTGAAGTCTAAAACTTTTCAGAAAGGAATTAAAAACATTTCTCAAAGTTATAATCATAAGTTATAATCATTACCATAATCAAGTTCCCGGTCAAAAATGTTCAGACAATTTAGTCAAGCCGTTTNACCTTTCTTCTACCCAAGGTACTAATGCAGGGAAAGTTATTTCAGAGGTGTACGCATCTTTTGTACTGCAGTGTATTGTCTTTGGGCGGTAATGTAAACACAAGATGGATGTCGAAGTCTAAAATGGGATCCATATTTCACATAAAAAAATCAATGAAATATTCTGGTCATTGGAAACTATTATGTGAATTATCAAAATTATCAAAATCAAATGCTTTTAACCTCCTCGGATACTAAACGAACACTGATGCATCTATTCTATTCCGCCCAGAGAGAACTGGTTTCAATATTTACGCAGAGTATACGCGACCGCAATTAACTTTCCTAACATTAGTACCTTGCTTCTACCTATATAGATTATACTGAAGGATTGGAGTAAATACAGTTTACAGCAACTGTATGTTACTTCGTGAAACTGAATATAAGACAATGATTTTGTGTTTTGAATCAAATCTGTTGTTCACAAATTAACTCAGTGGTATTTAGAAAGCAGTGGAATGAATGTGGTCCTTGTTCTTTCTTGCAATTATGAAATGTTGATAAATTATGTTATAAGTTACCTCTAAAACTGGTCCTTGTACATTTTCAGATATATTTCAGAGGTAACAGTTAAAGATTTCCAAATGAAAAGAAAGAACTGAGACAACAGTCATTCTACTTTTTCCTGGTTACCACTGTATAAGTAATTGATATATTCTAAAAAATAGATTACGTAGATATTCTTTGGCCTGTATTATCTTATAAAGGATAGTAAAGGAACTCTAGGTAGAGAAAGCATGAAACAAACTATTTTCTGCCTCGAGGAGGAGATATATGTTAATATTTTACTCAAGTTTGATTGAGTATGTGCTATTTAGGAAGGAAAGAGTTAGGATTAGATTTGAAGTGCATCTAATCAATAATATTTTTATTAAACATGTTATAGGAGTATACATATAGGACATAGGATAGAGAAACAGGAGTATACATATAGGATATAGGATACAGAAACATGTAGGAGTATACATATAGGATATAGGATACAGAAACATGTAGGAGTATACATACAGGACATAGGTTACAGAAACATGTATAGTATACATATATGATATAGGATACAGAACATGTAGGAGTATAAATGTAGGATATAGGATACAGAAACATGTACAGTATACAAATAGGACATAGGATACAGAAACATGTAGGAGTACACATATAGCACATAGGATACAAGAACATACAGGAGTATACATTTAGCACATAGGATACAGAAACATGTAGAAGTATACATATAGGACATGTAGGACATAGGATACAGGAAAATGTAGGAGTATTCATATTGGACATTGGATACATGAACATGTAGGAGTATATATAGGACATAGGATACAGAAACGTGTATAGTATACATATAGCACATAGGATACAGAAACATGTAGGAGTATACATATTGGATATAATTAAACAAATATTGAAGACGGAAAGAGAAGAATTCAATGAAGAATTACTCCAGGTCCTACCTTGAGAATTTGAGCACCTAACAGGGAGGAAATATGAAACTTTTATCCATAAATATTTGATATTCCATTGTAATATTTTTATCCAGGGAGTTTAAATTAATGAACACGAACCAACGATATACTAAAGTTTTATGAGAACACAAAAAGATATTCGGTAATTTGATTGTATTTGTAACTAGGGATTTTATTGGTCAAGGGCCGACACTAATCACTAAATAATAAAAACTTTAGATTTAAAACTTGGCTTTGATTTGATAATAATATGGAGAGATAAAAGTACAAAGGGTGGAAAGGAAAGGGGTAATAAAGAGTTAATATCTTGTAGCTTTATATCTGTGGATAGTGTAGTACTGTGTAATCTGTTCAGCTTATTAAACAAATTAAAATTAAAATACTTTTTGTGCTTATCTTAATCTTATAATTATACTTTTGAACAAAGTAAGTTATTCAGTTTTTAAAATAAATTAGTAATCTTAGCATATTTTCTGTAGTCAGCTTTATTCTAAAAATAAGCATGTAGATACACACATATTCGGATAACCTGTTCCAGTTTTAAGTTGCAGATATGGTAAACAAACAAACCATTTTTGTCAATTTAAATGTGCTTTATTTAATTTATTGTAGGGTGGCCGACAACTAATGAATGAAACAAAACATAATTGAATAGAGTTTTTGCTGATGCCAGCTGTTAAAAAGTTCCAAGTCTTTATATTTAATTTTATTTTTAACACATGTATTATTCATTACTACCAATAATATATATAAATATCTAGAGTAAAGTTAACTAACATAATGTTTAAAATAATCATGAAAAACGTTCCATACGGAGATATTCTCAATATTGTTTTTGATGTTGCTCTAAAGAAATATTTTTATATGAAAAAGTAGCTTTAAAATCAACTTATCAAGTATAAAAGGTCTGTGCACACTGCACAATTACTGTGTTTTATGTTGATTGGACTATTTAAAATCAGAGCTTGATAACAGTCCACTTCCATAGGTTTCATAGTTTTATGGGTTCACAATAAAACTCCAATGAAACGGGAGGAGTTTGGAACTAAAGTTCGGAGTTTCATAAACTAACTTTAATCCCAAACCCTTAAATCTTATTCTCCTGTTAAGTAAATCTTGAGCAATTGTTATAATACAAGTTATTGAAGGATCATAACTTATAATACATTGCATGCTTTGCTTAATTTGTCTTGCCGTATCTTCTTGTAGCGGAGGAATTATCAGTTCAAAGACAACCAGCAGATACAGATGCAGTAGTGAGGGTTGCAAGGAAACCGATTAAGTTACAGATACAGTAGTTAGGGTTGCAAGGAAACAGATTAAGATATATATGCAGTAGTTAGGGTTAAAGGAAACGGATTAAGGTATATATGCAGTAGTTAGGGTTGCAAGGAAACGGATTAAGAAATATATGCAGTAGTAAGGGTTGCAAGGAAACGGATCAAGATATATATGCAGTATATAGGGTTGCAAGGAAACGGATTAATATACAGATGCAGTAGTGAGAGTTGCAAGGAAAAGGATTAAGATATATATGCAGTAGTAAGGATTGCAAGGAAACGGATTAAGATATATAAACGGTAGTTAGGGTTGCAAGGAAACAGTTTAAGATACAGATGCAGTAGTTAGGGTTGCAAGGAAACGGATTAAGATATATATACAGTAGTAAGGGTTGCAAGGAAACGGATTAAGATATAGATGAAGTAGTTAGGGTTGCAAGGAAACGGATTAAGATATAGATGAAGTAGTTAGGGTTGCAAGGAAACGGTTTAAGATACAAATGCATTGGTTAGGGTTGCAAGGAAACGAATTAACATATAGATGCAGTAGTTTGGGTTTCAAGGAAACGGATTAAGATATATATGCAGTAGTTAGGGTTGCAAGGAAAGGGATTAAGATATATACAGTACTTAGGGTTGCAAGGAAACAGTTTAAGATACAGATGCAGTAGTAAGGGTAGCAAGGACACGGATTGAGATATATATACAGAAGTTAGGGTTGCAAGGAAACGAATTAAGATACAGATGCAGTAGTTAGGGTTGTATGTACACGGTTTAAGATATAAATGAAGTAGTTAGGGTTGCAAGAAAACGGTTTAAGATACAGTTGCAGTAGTAAGGGTTGCAAGGAAACGGATTAGGATATATATACAGTAGTTAGGGTTGCAAAGTAATGGATTAAGATATAGACGAAGTAGTTAGGGTTGCAAGGAAACGGATTAAGATATAGATGAAGTAGTTAGGGTTGCAAGGAAACAGTTTAAGATACAGATGCATTAGTTAGAGTTGCAAGGAAACGAATTAAGATACAGATGCAGTAGTTAGGGTTGTATGTACACGGTTTAAGATATAGATGAAGTAGTTAGGGTTGCAAGAAAACGGTTTAAGATACAGTTGCAGTAGTAAGGGTTGCAAGGAAACGGATTAAGATATAGATGAAGTAGTTAAGGTTGCAAGGAAACGGTTTAAGATACAGATGCATTAGTTAAAGTTGCAAGGAAACAAATTAAGATACAGATGCAGTAGTTAGGGTTGTATGTACACGGTTTAAGATATAGATGAAGTAGTTAGGGTTGCAAGGAAACAGTTTAAGATATATATGCAGTAGTTAGGGTTGCAAGGAAACGGTTTAAGATACAGATGCAGTAATTTGGGTTGCAAGGAAACGGATTAAGATATTTATGCAGTAGTTAGGGTTGCAAGCAAACGGATTAAGATATATATGAAGTAGTTAGGGTTGAAAGGAAACGGTTTAAGATACAGATGCAGTTGTTAGGGTTGCAAGGAAACGGATTAAGATACAGATACACTAGTTAGGGTTACAAGGAAGCGGATTAAGATACAGATGCAGTAGTGAGAGTTGCAAGGAAATGGGCTAAGATTGAAAAAAGATGAGATACTTATTAAGAGGAGGGGAAATTAAACGACTTAATTCTCATTCTGATGATGGTCCAGATTCTGGTCATGAATCATGATCCTAATTATGATTTTAATCCTTATTACGATGATGATAGTGAAGATGACGATAATTCCGATTCTGTGGATGATCCTGATCTCGTTGATGATCCTGTTTTAATGAGGTTCTTGATTCTGTTTCTAATCCTGACCATAATCTTCATCCTGAAAACAAATTTGTTCTTGCCTTTGATCCTGTTTCTATTCCTTTATCCAATCCTGACTCTTTATCCAATACTTGTCCTTGATCCTATCCTGATTCTAAATCCTATCCTGATTCTAAATCCTATCCTGATTCTAAATCCTATCCTGTTTCTTAATCTACTCCTGACTCTTAATCCAATCCAGGTCCTTAATCCTATCCAGATCCTTAATCCTATCCTGATTCTAAATCCTATCCTGGTTCTAAATCCTATCCTGATTCTAAATCCTATCCTGATTCTAAATCCAATCCTAATTCTAAATCCTATCCTGATTCTAAATCCTATCCTGATTCTTAATCTACTCCTGACTCTTAATTCAATCCAGGTCCTTAATCCTATCCAGATCCTTAATCCTATCATGATTCTTAATAGAATCCTGATTCTTAGCCCAATACTAAGCCTTAATCCAAATCTGATCTTAAATCCAATTTTGATTCATAATACAAAGTTCATTCCTACTGCAATTCTGTTTCATTATCCAATCCTGATCCAAAATCCTATCCTGATTCCAAGATCCTAATCCTAAAAATCCACTTTATAGGTCATATTTATATAAAGATTATATAATTTAGTTTCCAGAAATATCAAATCAGCGAGACACTTCCATAGAATGAAACCTGAAGCTAAATTTTATTCCAATTATTCCTAATTAATATCTAAAGAAACATTTCCTTGGAAAGAGTCAAGGAATGTCGGGGTGAAGTAGAACACAAGATGAATCTAGGAATGTCGGGGTGAAGTAGAACACAACATGAGTCAATGAATTTCGGGGTGAAGTAGAACACAACATGAATCAAGGAATGTCGGGGTGAAGTAGAACACAACATGAGTCAATGAATTTCGGGGTGAAGTAGAACACAACACGAGTCAAGGAATATCGGGGTGAGGTAGAACACAACATGAGTCAAGGAATATCGGGGTGAAGTAGAACACAGCATGAATCAAGGAATGTCGGGGTAAAGTAGAACACAACATGAATCTAGGAATGTCGGGGTGAAGTAGAACACAACACGAGTCAAGGAATATCGGGGTGAAGTAGAACACAACACGAGTCAAGGAATATCGGGGTGAGGTAGAACACAGCATGAATCTAGGAATGTCGGGGTGAAGTAGAACACAACACGAGTCAAGGAATATCGGGTTGAGGTAGAACACAACATGAGTCAAAGAATATCGGGATGATGTAAAGCACAAAAATGAGTCAAGGAATGTCGGGGTGAAGTAGAACACAGCATGAGTAAAGGAATGTTGGAATGAAGTAGAATACAACATTAGTCAAGAAATTAAGGGGTCTTAAGAAGAATACAACATGAGTCAAGGAATGTCGGGTGAAGAAGAACAGCACAATATGAATCAAGGAGTGTCGGGTGAAGAAGAACAGCACAATATGAATCAAGGAATGTTGGAGTAAAGTAGAACACAACTGTAGATATTTTTTGATCAAATTATACTGTTATCGGTTACTTTGTTATTTGTTATAAAGAATGGTAAGAAAAAAAATAGAAAATATAATGATTATTCAATTATTAAACCAAATTTGAATGAACAATCTTAATTTCGGCAAATTTTTAGTGGTTGTTTAATGCTCAGTCCAAAATTAGAGGTGACATATGTATTTTCCAAAAACTGTACAATTAAAAAAATATAGGAATTTGGAACGGTCAAACTGATCCTAATATTGCACGTAGAGCTCTCTAGCAAAAATATATCATTTTGCAAATTATTTCTTTTGAAATTGCGCTAATAACAAGCTAGATCTAAAATGTAAAATGGAGTATGTATTGAATAAGAATAAAACGTTGCGACACTGCAAAGTCGACCAAATATTAAATAATAATACAGATTTTCATTGCTGACTGAATTTCTATGCATTACAAATCTCGATGAAACCATGATACTCGTAAATGATCATATTGTAAAACGATCTGCTTCGGGCTTTTATCTGGATATTATAGGAAAATGAAACAGACCATGACAGAAATAAATAATTAACATTATCAAATCTTTATCAACGAGGAAAAGTTAGCTGTTACATTGGACAAATGCAGTACAATGCATCTTATCCATATATATTTATTTAGTAATCTCTGTTATAGCGATTGTTTGTTTGTCCGATCATAACTCATAAAACCTTCAACAGATTTGCCTTAAAATTTGATTTGGGAACTCTGAAATGTTCTCAGCTTGGTTTTGAGATTCTAAGTTGAGTGGGTACACTTTTATAGGGAAAAATAACTGAAATCATAATTTACGACCAAGCGCGGGTAAACGGCGGAAGTGTTTGGTTATATGTCAGATCATAACCCATGAACCCCTTTTTTAGTTTCCAGGCAAATATAGGTTTCCAAGTTAGTTATGTATGGTCTTTGTGTGTCTGTTTGTTTGTATTGGTGATCATAATATGTGAACCTCCTGAACGATTTGCCTGAAACTAAAACCATGGAAATCACTGACAACTCATCTGCATCTTGTGAGATTTGGTGAGATCATTGTGGAGCGTTCTTAGCTTGCAGGTTTAAAAATTCTAGGTTGAGTTGGATGACTTTCATAGAGTAAATAAAGTTTCTGGATCCCCAGCCATATCTCTGTGTATAGAATACATAAAGAAATAAGATAAATACAAATAACAATCAAACATCTGGTAAAAGATACAAAGTTTTGAATTTAAAAAAGAACGAAGACGGCTATTAACCAGCATTAAATCGGATATTCAAATTAAAAATTAAGCGAGATGTATCATGATATTCTTCTATGTTTGGGGAGCTGTATCATAATATACTTACTGCCTAGATTTTAAGGAGCTGTGTCATTATTTAGTTAATGTATGGGGAGCTGTATCATGACATTTTTTCTATCGTTTTCAACCAAAATGTTTAGAAAGCAATTTTCTTTTTGTTTCATGATACTCCAGATGTTTAGGGAGCTATATTATGATAACCCCAGCTGTTTAGGGAGCTGTAATGATGATTTATAATAATAACCCCGGATGTTTAGGAAGCTGTATCATGATACATCTAGTTGTTTTGGGAGCTGTATAATGAATCATGATAACCCCAGATGTTTAGGGAGCTGTATCATGATAATCCTAGATGCTTAAGGAGCTGTATCAGGATAAATCTAGTTGTTTTGGGAGCTGTTTAATGATAAATATAGCTGTTTTGGGAGCTGTATAAAGATAGTCCTAGCTGTTTTTGGAGCTGTATCACGACAGATATAGTTGTTTTGGGGGCTGTATAATGATAATCCTAGATGTTTTGGGAGCTGTATCATGACAAATATAGTTATTTTGGGAGCTGTATCATGATAAATACAGTTGTTTTGGGAGCTGTTTAATGATAATTCCAGATGTTTAGAGGGCTGTATCATGATATATCTAGCTGTTTTGGGGGCTGTATAATGATAAACATACAGGGTGTCCCACGAAACATGACAGTATGCAAGACGACTTGAATATCGTTTTGATTTTTGATATAATTTGCTGCATTTATTTTTCAACCTAATTTTAGAAGTAAATTTCTAGCGATAATAATCACAAAATTCCCCTAGTCCTGCCATTTCCAAAATGTGGTCTGCATTTTTTGTGCTTTCAATATTGCCCGAGATATGATCAATTTCGTTCAGATTTCGACAATTTTGCTTTTATTTAATAAAATTGAAATCTGAACCAAACTCTCCGGTAATATTGAAAGCACAAAAAACGCAGACCACTTTTTGAAAATGTCAGGGCTAGGAGAATTAATTGATAATTGTTTCAAGAATCAAACATGTTAAAGTAGATAGAAGACTAAATGTCACAAATAAATTCAAATATCAAAGACGACTTTCAAGTCGTCTTGCTATTGTCATGTTTCGTGGGACACCCTGTAGCTGTTTAAAGAGCCGTATCATGAGACCTAGATATTTAGGGATCGAGTTGCATCATGATAACCCTAATTGTTTTGGAACCTTTATCATGATAACCTTTATATTTAGAGGGCTGTATCATGATAAAACTAAATGTTTAAGGAGCATTATCACGATTAATCTTGGTAGTTATGATCGAAACTAAAAATAAACAAATAAATAATAAAAAATAATAACTTTTAAATATTTATGTTTAGGGAGCTACACAAGGAACTAAAGAACTTGGAGCGTAAAAAACGAAAAGCTGAAATGTATGATATAGAACAGGAAATCACTGTTATACTTTTTTATTATTTTTTTTTGGTTATTCACACTTTGTCATTTTAGTCATCCGCGTTGTAATTAACAAAGTTAAAACACTCTAAAATCTAGAATAATTGATGAAATCAGGACGCCAGAGATTTCGAAATGGAAATACCGGAGAGGGAAATAATAAGACTGAAGTCCGGAGTAAGGACGGACAGACCAAAGTCTGGAGTAAGGTCGGATATCAGACCAAAGTCCGGAGTAAGGACGGAGAGCAGACCAAAGTCCGGAGTAAGGACGGAGAGCAGACCAAAGTCCGGAGTAATGACGCAAAACAAAGAAAATAGAGTAAAATCGGCTAATGGACTAGGTTTACAGAATGGAAGAGTTAAAAGTACAGCAGTTAAAGAGGGGAAATCAAAGGTATACATTTTATTTTTTGTATTTCCTCAGAAATCATTAGTTTTACTTTTAGACTTTATTACGTTTCAAGATACTCAAATGATTTCTGTAATTTAGACAACTCGAGCCTCTAGTCCCAAAAATCCTACTCCAATTATATCTATAACAGCTGAATCTAAAGAAGAAAAGGGTTCAACAAAAAATGATGACTCAGAATTAGAGTTTGACTCAAAATTTACAAAAATGGAAACATCACGGAATTTGGGACGCCTAGAACCTATTCAGCTACACCTTTCCGCCCCTGATTTAACATTGACTCCTGAGAACCTGCGCCTGTCTACAGAGGATTTACGTGTTTTGAGTTCCAAGATGGGAGATACCAAGACGAGATCTCCTAGTCGTCTTCATACTCTACATCCATTAGCCGATACCTTCAATAGGGGTAAAGAGAAGAAAATTTTAATTAATAAACAAAAAAGAAGTTTAAGAGATCATTTCCGATCATTTTGCATTGACCCAAAAAATGTGTTATCATTTAGGTAAATCTTAACAAGAATTAGGATTAAATGTTGCACCCAAATTACTAATATTTAGGGTAGAAATTAAACTGCCCCCCCCCCTGATCCATTTCAAAAAAGAAAACAATAATTTCCAGGTGGTCTGCCTGGATTAATGAGACCTACGGGACTATCTCCGGCCGGGTACCAGGTCAGACAAATCTAATTAAAATGTCGTCTTCTAAAAGAAAATCACAAAGAAACATTTATGACTAAAAAGAAATACTGACTGCTCTTTTACTTTCTACTTATACGCAAAAAAAATCATTTTTAAAACTTGTTTTGCAGAAAAGGTTTAAATGATGGTATTTATCCCCTGAAATAAATAGATACTGTATGTGATAAAAAGACTCAAAGACACATCGGAAAACCTTGCATCAAAAGTACTTTTGTCTTATGGTTACTTCAATATTATTATATTAAAGTCCTTTTTGTTAATTTATGTGATTTCCGTTTGAATTTCGCGTCTTTATCATTTCAGGAAGACAGAATTTAAGTACCTAGAAAAAATCAATTGCTGTGCATATATCATATTCATTGGTTTTTTTTAAATCGTAATTTGAGTCTAACAGATGAATTACAATTCAATAGTGTTAATAGGTTCCACTATATAATATTTACAATTAAATATATATTTAGGCAAATATGAGATTGCTATTCGACTCTTCTAAGCGTCCAAGCTCTGCAACAAGTTTAAACCTTTCTAGGAACAAATTCAAAAAAAAGAGATGATTTATATTTTTTCGCAGGTTTAAAGGATTTGTAGAGTGTAATTTCAAGTGGCTTTCTATTGTTAGAGTGGTATGTCTGATTTAAAACCTTTATGTGAGTAACAATTAGGACGGTATTTTAATTTTTCTTTCTGTAAAAGTATTAATTGCAATCAGCAATTCACTTTCAAACAGAAACTACAATAAAAACAATCAATATTCAGACAAGCACAAGGAACAAGTACATGTCGTACAGGGTGTCCCAATAAACATGGGAATTCAGTGACGAATTCGATATCGTCTTTTTAAATAATTCTTTGATTTAGAATAGTGATTCCTACTGAGAAATCTGTAATCTATAATGGTTTCGTCTACTATGTTTACATTTTGTTTGTTTATGTTTTGACTGCATACAGGTGTACTTAGTAAAACAAGAAAATTACAGTATACAAACAGAGTAAACTTGTCCGTCTTCACTGTTCAACTTACGGAGACATTATAGACACATCTTTACAGCCATTTACCCTTTCCATAAGATAAACTGTAGCAGACATAATAATATTAAGGCTTTTGAAATTAGGTATTACAATGCTAATTCATAACAAAGACGATATCCAATTCGTCACTAAATTCCAATGTTTTTTGGGACACCCTGTAGATAAACTTTTTGAATGGATAATTACTTGAAATTTCATAAACATTCCCTTTGAGTAGATATTAATCTTTATAGAAAACACACACCCATATATAAAAAATGCAAACAACTTGTCCTGCGATCAAAACTTTTATGAAGATATTGTTAATCTTGAATACTTGATCTCGAGATCCGTTGGAGGCACTTTTAAATCTAAGGATTAATGTTTAATCCCTTCATTAAATTAAATCTATGTACAGTATGATCTTCACGGGCTATCTAAACAAAGAGAATTAAAGTAATCCTTATATCTGCATAAGATATAGATCAATGCTTGATCTCGAGATTTACAACTCAAAAGTTATGACTTCAGTGTCCGAATTTTATGAATTTGAGCCGCGTCTTAAATCCGCCAAAAACCGGTTTCAATTGAGCGCCGGCTGAAATATTGAAACATTAAATACAACTTTAAGTGAAACCAACCATATTTGAGTCGTGGCTTAAATTTAAGCCGCCGCTAAAATTCTTTAAATTCAGCCACTGGTTTATAAAACCCCGCCTGATAAAGGTTTATGCCTTTTTATTGGATTTGATCGTACAGGAGTAGACCATCGTCAGCCCAGAGTAGGTTCTCATTAGACAACGAGGTTCAGATCCAAACCAAACATTCAAACCTATCCTCGGAGGATGAATTAGTTAATGTCAGAGATATCATTGTGCATACAGAGAACAATTCTAAAAAACCTTCCACATCTTGTCCGTCAGAGTCCTCCAGCAACGGGCAAATACTGACAGTTTCTTACCATAAAGAATATCCAGGTTCAGAAACTTCTGCGGGTGCAAACCTACAGGAGCAGAGACAAAAATTTAAGAAACATGATAAAAATCATAAAAACTCAAAATTGTCCGACAACCCAGATTTAATAGAAACCATTCCCAAAAGCACAACAGTAGTTCAAGGATCAGAAGTAAATGTTGGATTAGGAGCCAAAATAAAATCCACTAAAACATCTACCTCTAACTACGTAAACTCTTCCGCTAGTGCAAGACTTAGTTCCAAATCTGCTGCTAAGACCAGAATTACTCCTGAATCCGCCGCTAATTCAAAATCTAGAATTTATCAGCGGACGATTTCCAAAACCTCTTTAAATTCTGAAGGTAAGGGAAAATCAGTAACTTTCAAATAAAAAAATATTTTTTTGTTTATGTAAAAGCAATGCATTTGGTTTCTTTGTATTTAGTACCTATAGGTCTTTTAGCGATAATTTCAATCTATCAAATTTTTCATTTTCTTTTTGAGAATGAAACATTTTTTCATAATCATAAAGGATGATGGCTAAGATTCATCGCACTCTTTTCCATACAAAACAGGCTCAATTTATTTAAATTTTTGAAATTTATATTATAATTCGGTCCAATTTAAAACTTTTGATTACATTTGAAAATAATTCAATTAACCGGAAGCAAAACAGGTTCCGCAGGATTTCTTGCATCCCTGCCCAATATTGTCCTGGGAACAATACTTAGTGAGATCTGGACAGTTGGTGTACTTGTCGTAGCAGGTATAGGAGGCTACTGGAGTCATACCATCACACAATCCACAAGCTTCAGCACAATCCTGAGCAATGGATGGTTGCCAACAGGATCCAATAGCCAAATCATTGCAGTTGGAATACTTGTTCAAACAAGGTTTCTTGGTGGTCAAAGGAGCATCTGTAGCTCCGCAAACCTTCTCACAAGACACAGCAGCCATAGATTTTCCAATCCCACACATATTCACACCTCGTTTCATCCTGATATATCCTCCCTCTCCCCAATCTGGTCCCCAGCTGTTCTTGATCAACCAGTAGTCCAACCCGTTCTCGGATCCGTATCCGACCACAAGGATTGCATGATCGGTTTTAGTTTCTCCGGCAGGACATCCAGCAAAGATTCCTCCCTTATAGTTCTCAAATGGACCTGTAGACATAACGCTAGCTACAACTGCTCCGTGTTTATAAACCAACTGCTTCAGTAGCTCTTCGTCTCCGGAGTAGGTGTAAACAGAACCAGATATCTTTGCTCCTAGATTATAAGATGGAAGATTTGCAGGGCAGACGAGTTTAGATTTCTCAGCTAGGTATGGATACTGGGACTCATGAGCCAAATCAACCTTGTTATCTGAAGCCCACTTGAGGTAAGCATGAGGGGCAGCTCCGTCACAACCGAAAGCGTTTTCATTATCATATCCACAGTCTACAAACTGCTGCTCGGAGTAATCTCCAATAGCTCCGGTTGCTTTCTTGATGCAGACTTCCACAGCTCCCATATTGGAGAAAGCAACACAGGACCCACACTTCAGCTGGTTCTTCACAGGAGAAACGTGACCTTAAAGAAATAAAAAAATAGAGCACTTGCGAACTAGTGAGTCAAGTGAAATTGCGAATATATTAAAAAATCTTACCCAGAGCTCTAGAGTCGTAGGCAGTAGGAACTAAAGCCCTGTCAAATCTGAGTCTAGCAAAGTAAATTTCAGATTTATTATCAACCCTGTACTCGGGAGAAGGTTCTAGAAGTCCTCGTCCGAACTGTGATCCGTCCAGAGATCCTGTTCTCTCATGCTCGAACTCATCTTCTGGAAGATCGGAGAACTCATTCAAAGAATCAAACCAGGTGATCTCTCCAGCAGCATACTCTTCATTGATCTTTCTTATTTCCTCCTCATTCTCTTCCAGAGCTTTATTTCTTCGTTCATATTCAGCAGAATCTACAGGAGCAAGATGATAAAATTCTTCAAATTCCTTCTCATCAATCTTGTCCAGAGGGTCAAGTTCTCCGGGTTCAGCGCTTTGTGCTGCTGAAAGATCCAAGAGCAGAAAGGATAAGAATAGTACTAACACTTTCATGTTTGTATTTAACCTTGATGTTATTTACTGAACATTCTCCAATCTCCGAAATATTTATACCCATGGAAGCAGATCAAGTGTTCAACCAAAATCAATTCTGTTGTTTACCTAATTTTAGTTACAATAGAATAGTAGAAATAGAAATATGTCAAATCTGACAGATTCAATTTTCCATCCTTGATTGGATAAGTTATTGTTTGTAACCACAACAATAGGGATTGCCACCTTTACATAAATACATCAAAATGAGAATTATCTTTAAAAACAGCAATTGAAAAAACTGCATATTAATTTTCAATCTTTCCCATCCTTGTCTTTTAATTCAAAAAACATATTTTCCACCTAGAAATTATAATTATTCCATCTTCTATTTTTTATTTATAAATTACTTTATTAAATAATTTTAACCTGTAAATTGTTTGGGAATTCTATATTAATTGGTAAGTGCCAATGTAAAATAAAGGAATTGAGTTTTTGCCACAAATTCTGATCTTCTAATACCTGTTTCTTTGCAACCTGATGTGTAAACCTTCAATATTTCAATTGAATTGTAAAGATATTGGGATTAGAAAATCAGAGTTTGTGCCAAAAACTCAGTTCCTTTATGTTTACTGAATTTCAAATAATTATTTATGGAGAAATCAGTTTCTGTTAGTGACTACAGGGTTACCTATAACAATTTTGTATGACATTCTTTGAATGAAACACTTAAAATAACTTTTATGATCACTTTAATATTTTTTGATGATCCTAATGTATTTTTTAACAATTTATTATTTTTGATTTTTAATTTTATAAATTGGATACAGAATTGATACAGAAAAATTCTGATTTGATTCATATTCTTGTCATCATTACTATCTTCTTCCTTTTTTTCTTTTCCTGCTGTTTACTGTCTCGGATTCTGATAATTTGGAAAAAAATGAAAATTTGTCGAAACCAGTATTTTTTGAGACACTCTGCTCATTGTAATTGTTTGGTGTATTTGCAGCTAGCTGACTTTTCAGTTTTCAGTTTTAGTTTTCTTTTTGCACACCCAGGAATGTCTGACCTTGCTCACAGTTGATCAAACTGTTTTAAGGTCAAGATGAGGGTAGAGGGGCAGGGTGGAATAAAAAGGGTGTTTGCAATTGTTATTCTGTACTTTGAGTTGTGTGTCCAAATCCTAGTTCCGCCAAGTGGTCTTAAAGATGGATCCAACCACATTCGTCCACTAAGACAAAAATTCCATATGTTGTTTGTGACAATATGAGTTGGAAATTTGGAGAAGGTAGGTAGGGAGGGTATCGAGGGACTCTCATGAGGAAGGAACCCTGTTTTTCTCCCGGATTTATACTCTTTCCGAGTTCTGCGGCATTTTAGGGTTACCCATTGGAGTTGCACCGAAATACAAAATGAGGAGCTGTTGGCTTTGTGGCTCCAGGATGTTGCATTTTAAACAGTAACCCAGTCTTCATAGTCGGCCGGGTATCACAGCCAGTAGAGTATAAAACTGACATCTTAGTGCATGGTTACCCACCTCTTAGGGTTCATCTTTCTATGTTTCTTTTTTTCTTATTTTCTTTGTTGTTTTTAATGTGTTGTGCCGCCATTTTTGATTTGCTCAGCGCTCCCTGACTGAATAAAGGCCTGTCTACTTAGAGGAGAGCACTGCTTTCTGTGTCCTAACCTTCCCAGTGCCAGCTTGCAACTGTGAACCTAATGTGTGTATTGATGGGTCATTGCTTGGTTCGTTTTTTCAAAAACTATTAAGGTCTTTAAAGAGGTTTCACAAAAATCCAAGTTCTATTATTTTTAGAATCATTTATTCTGAAAATTTTTTTCATATTATGCCACATTTTTACCCATATATTTCTTTGAGGATAAAAATATTGCAAAGTTCAATGAAAGCAAAAATGAACACAGTTTTGAAATGTTCACAGTATTTGAATGATGCTTAAATGTCAGAAATTTTAAATGCGAACCAAACCCATCACTGTAACTGTGTTTAACCAGGATCTAGCTCCCGTCCTTCCAGTTCTCTATACAAGGAAACCCTCATGGAGAAGATTATGAGGTAAGTATCATAATATCAATCTGTATGTGTTACCCAAAAAGGATGAGACTCAAAAGACGACTTGAAACTCTAAAAATCTGGCGATTTTAAAATTAGAATAAACCTTTAATGGCTTATTTGATGATTTGCCAAAGAAAAAAAACAGTTTACAGCCGCAGAGAATCATAAATATTAGGAACCAGACAGGATTAAATTCGCACAGTCGTCTACAAAGTCCCATCCTTGGGTAATCCTGTACCTAGAGTTTATCATTTTTAATTTTATAGAACTTAGATGACCGGGATATGGTTTGATTATACTAAACCGGGACGTTTTCGGTCCAGCTGGTTTTTTATGTACAATAATAAACAAAAGTTATTATTTATTTTCGTAGTCGTACCAATTAAACCAACCTTCTCTGGTTAGGCGGGTCCAAACTGCACAGTAAATTGTGATTTTTACTTGTATTTTCTCGTGCTTTTTAGATGAATAAAAATATTAAATGAATTGCCCACACCCTAAAGTAAGCTTTCGGTGCACCGAAGTTATCTGCAATACAATGACCGAAGAAAAAATACACTTCAGCGTAAAGTGCCCAGGAAATTTCCGTCATTTGTTTACAATCTTTGTCATTATTTTGACAAAACTAGTTCTCAGCATGCAGTCTTCATAAGTCACAATCAAATGTTTACACAAACTCTAGTTCTACTCACATTGATCATTCCTTAACCCTATCCCTGCTGGGGTACTTGAAAACCAGGATACGCTGGGGGGGGTCAATTTGACCCCCCCCCCTCTAAATCCCATGTTTTATGTCCAAATATGACAAATGATACATCATTAGAAAGCTCTTGTGCTCTACTTTTAGAATCTGCAAAAAAATTTGCAAATTTGCGAAAATTGAATTTTTTGTCGCAAAAATCGCGTAAAAATGTTTGCAAAAATAAATTTGTCCCAAAAATGAAAAATTATACATTTTTGAAAAGCCCTTGACCATGCCATTTTAAATATGAAAAAAATTTTGCAAAATTTTAAATAACCTGATTTTTAATCAAGAAAAACTAAAAATGTGCAAATTTCCTTTGACAGGTTGTTTGCAAAAAATTTGCTAATTTTTTTTTCGCAAAACTTGTGCAATCCGTTTTCTTATGTCATAGGCTTTCCAAAAAGCTAAATTTTATCAAAATCTGACAAGTGAAAGTGGGTCAAATCAAAGATTTAGTTTGTTACAGGCAAAAGCAGTCATTCCGGCAGTGTGCCTGAGGACTCAGGCAGTTAGTATTAAAGCCCGGTTTTAGGCCTAAAGGGAGGGCTTTGGGTATGTAAGAAAAGTCAGAAAATTTCAACAGCCTCAGACCAATACTTTTTGAGTTATGTAAAAAAAACTACAGGGGGAGGTCAAATTGACACCCCCCCCCCAGCAGGAATAGGGTTAATACATACATATTATTAATATATATAACTAGCCAAACGGCTTGACCAACTTGGCTGAATTTTTCTTAGCAAATCTATTTTTTCTAAATTCCAAATTTTTTAGAAAGTGTTTTTAAAATTCCCTGGGAAATGCTGGGCACTTCAGATAGTATATACAATATATGTTTAGAGAGAGAAAAGAGAAGAATTTACAAGGAAGGAACCTGGAGACCCCGGAACGTCCTCCAGTTAAAACTAAACCTGTAAAATCCATCCTAAAGAAGAGTGGAATGAATTCGACGGTTAAAAAGAAAAAAATAAATTTCTCCGGAGAAAGTCAAAAAACGTTGATATTCTCATCCCCTTCGAAGGTAATCAAACTGTTAATAAAAATGCAGTTTCATGTTTTTAATAAAAAATTGAGTTTGATTTTTTTCCTTTTAAGCCTTTGAAAAATGCTCTGAGTACTTTTGCAGAGACAAATCAGAAAAAAAATATTATAAAATAAAATATTCTTTGAAGCTTTTTTATTAAATAAAGGCGAAGATGTCACTCATTCAACTTTAAATTGGTTATAAATGTATTTTAGGTTTCCCTAAGTAGTGAACTGAGTGGGCATCTAAACTATGGTTATGTTATGGAAGCAGATCCTCTCTCAGAAACTGTTAAATGGATCAAGCTTCCAGTTCAATAGAATATAATAAAAACATTAAAAGGAATTGAATCTTTGGCACAAAAACAAATTTTCTAATCCATCTTTGTATCCTGATGGTGTAAACCTTTGATATTTCAAACTTAGACTTTATAGCTTGAAATATCTAAGGTGTACGACATTGGGTTGCAAAGATATAGGGAATAGAAGATAAAAGTTTGTGGCAAAGGCTCAATTCCTTTATGGAAAATGGTCCAAGCTAAAAAGGTTTAAAGATATTATAAAATAGTATTGTTGTTATTTACCACATTATTACCTTACAATATTCATCCTCAACTCTAATCACTTTTTAACTTAGATGAAACAAAGCAGTATAATTTAGAAGAATTAGAACCAATGGAAATTTAAACCTCTGCAGAGGGATTCATTGATTAACGTTTGAATTTCCGGGGGTTTAAATTTCTATTGAATTAAATTTTTCTGAGAGTAAATGACGATCCTTTGTGAATAACTTGTTTTAATAATGGACTTGCAAAAATATGATCTATATTATCGGTATTTTATAAAAATGGTTGCATAATAAAAACCTGCACTATTTATAACAAAATTTAACAGTACTATTTTTGTTATGTTATAAGCTTATTTCAATAATATCAGTGTCCGAATTTAATGAACCCCAAAACCGGTTACAATTGAGCGCTGGCTTAAATCTTGAAAAATGGATGACAATTTAAAGTTGAACCAACCATATTTGAGCCGCGGCTTAAATTCGGCCTCAGGATTCAAGAATGTAATTAGTGAACTCAAATATAAGATAAGATAAATCAATTAAGTTTTGATAATTAAGCATTTTACCAAACTGAGGCCGAATTAAGCCGCGGCTCAAATATGGTTGGTTCCACTTAAAATCATATTCTTTGTTTCAAGATTCAATTGAAACCGTTTTTTGGTGGATTTTAGACGCGGCTCAAATTCATTAAATTCAGACACTGATATTATTGCAATAATTGTTGTTATAATTTGTATGTCTTAATATGTGTCCAATAAACATGACATTTCAAAGAGGACCAAAAATTATATTTAATAAACAATTTTACATGAAATTAGTTTTCTCAGCCGTTTTAGTTATGCTTATACAGTATGAAACGCATGCATGCACGCAAGATCATACTTGTTCCTCTTTAAATTTTCATGTTTATTGGGGCACACTGTACATCGTGTTGACTTGAATATTTTTTTGATATAAAAAATGTTCCTAAAACGATAGGTGTGCGAAAATTGACCAATAATTAGCTATAATTATATTCAATATTGTATTATTAAATGCGTTTATAATCAAATATCTTATATTCTCTGTTGTAAATACATTTTTGTTCAATTATTAAACATTCATTTTGCTAAAATATTTTAGAACTTCAGCTATAAATATATAAATATCTCTTTCAGATTGATTTAAACTTATTTTGTTTCTGATCTCCCGCATAGATATTCTATCCCCCCCCCAATATACCCCACTTAAACAGATCCCCACTGAGAAATTTGACTCATTTCAGACAGAAGCCTAGAAGGTGTGGGTGGGGAGAGGGGTGGATGTTGAGACATATTTAGTTGTTATTTAACCTTCTTCAGTTTATCATCTTCTTCATTTTAATTGTAAGTGTCGTGTCCTCCTTACTGCTTCTCATTGGTGAATCGTCAAAATCTTTAACAATACAAACAAAATCGTTCATATTGAAACTAGCTTTTTAGAATTTAGCTTTCCTTCTCATTTAGGGTATTAGGAAATTCATACAGGGTGACCCAAAAAACAGGGAAACAGGGATTAGGATTTTTTAGCCCCTTTAATCCTTTGAAATTATTCAAAAATGTGCCTCAGTGTATAGTTTTTAATTTCAGAAGGGGTAATAATAAGTGAGTTTGTGTCGTCCAATCCTACCATTTGGTGTAAAACTATGTCGAATATTCGAAAATCTCTCTGTTACCCTTAGCTAACCTTAAGAAACTAAAAATTCATTTACATCTATCTGAACCCTCTGAGATTTTTCTTTTGGGCTTTTTGAAATCTAAGGTGCATACGCATAGTCCAATACCCAGAACTCTATGAAGAGAAACCTTAAAAAAGATTGGTTGCAGAAATCCCAGTCCCATGATTGGAATGAACCTTGGAAAATAGAAATAGGTGATTTCATAGCATGGCATCCATTTGGGGCCTCTTTAAAAAATAGTTTCAAATATAAACAGTATAGTAACCTAAATAAGTATTTATTATTATGATTTATAAGCATTGTTAAGTTGTTTTCTTTCTGCAATATAGATTTGAATAGAATAATATAAATTATCAATTGTTTAAAGTTAACAGATAGTTTTTAAAAATTGGACACAGTTTAGCGCCAAACACAGGCATCTAATGCCGAAATGTTCATTGAACGATTCCTTCTAAAATTAAAAACTATATGCTAGGGATAGAGAGGCATGAAGAGTTCCATATTTATTGTGATCTATATTTTTTATTTATTTGTTATTTAGGGTTTTTTTTTCAAAATTCTCTCGAAAGCAAAATTATGGTGGAAATCTACAATCTTCCTTCATATTATCATGTATCCACTACATGTATTACTAGGTAATATTAATATTATTATTGCATCCTTCCTTCATATTATCATGTATCCACTACATGTATTACTAGGTAATATTAATATTATTATTGTATCCTTCCTTCATATTGTCATGTATCCACTGCATCGAATAATATAATATTAAAACAATTGTATGTGAACCAAATCACTTTACAAGAATAAAATATTTAGATCTTAAAAAAAGATAAAACGAGCTGAGATCATGTCACAAACTCAAATTTTCTAATTGCTATATCTTTGCAACCTGAATCTGGAAGCCTTTGATACTTCAAGCTTAGACTATTTGAACTAACAACTATTTGAAAAACATTTACGACATCGGGTTGCAAAAACAAAGCTATTAAAGAATCAGAGTTTTTTTTCCTTTTGATTGGTTCTCAATCTTTTTTGTAAACCTGTTCTAATCTTGTTCTTTGTCATAGACTTGTTCTAAGTCTTATTCATTAATCTTGACTTGTTCTTGCTCTTGCTTTTCATTCAAAACCTTTTTTTGGATATAATCTTTTATCCTAAACTTGTGTTTAATCTTGGTTTTAACTTTAGACTTGTTCTTGATCTTGCTAATAATTGTTGACTTGTTTTAAATCTTGTTTTTCTTTATCCTAGACTTGTTCTAGCCAAACTGATTCTGTTTTACTCCTTTTTTACTGAACCTTGGTTTATGCTGACCGGTGTGTTATCATCTTTCATCAGGTAGACTTCTAGATTAGGCAGATTTAGAATTAAGAATATTCTTGTTGTTGCTTTTTATTTTTCTGCTCTTCAAATTCCTACTTCTTCTTCTTTCTTCAGCTCCTCAACATTCAGCACCTTATTGTCCTATTCGTCCTGTCATTCTTGTCCAATTTATCTCCTACTCCTCCTTGTCCTACTTCTCTACTTCTATGGTTGATCTTAAACTCCTTTTCCTTCTCCTTCTCCTTCTTGTCTATAATATTTCATGTCCTTGGTCTCCTACTCTCTTCCTTCTTCTCCTTCCCACTCGTTCTTATCCTACTACTACTTGTCCTACGCTTATGCCTGTTTTTATTCTCCTCTCCACCTTGTCATGCACCTTTCTCCTCCTTGTCCTACTCTTCTCCTCTCTTCCTTATTCTACCCTACCTAGTCCTACTCCTGATAGTTCTACTCCACCTCCTCGTGTTCCTCTAACATAGGATTGTCCAGGAGTATACCTGGATTGGTTGAGATATCTCCACCCCCTCTTCTTACCCCCCTTCTCTCAGCTGAGATAATGGCGGATACTCTGGTAAGTACATTGCTCTAAAAGGGATTGTAAGCGTATTTTAAGCAACTCTCCATTCCCGATTTACAATGATACCCTTTAAATTGTTGACTGTTCATCTAGTAAAGAGAGCTCTGTATATCTCGAAAACCACTAAAGATTCCTGTATAACGCGGTGTACGCTGCGTACAATGTGAAATCAACACAGCAGAAGGGTTTATTGTGTCCCTTGATATCATCGAATAGTTTACATTAAAAGCTATTACCAAAAATTCGAAAGTAAATATTTATTTTCTGCCAATTCTAGAAAGTTAATATGAATATTTTAAAACTTGAAACAATTTGCAAACAAAGTGTTTAACAATTAAAACGTTTTCGTAGAAAACTTTGATCAGTCAAAGGTTTCAAGGGTACCGTTGTGAATCGTGCATTGCTATCTGTGCATGGAGAGTCACTTGTAATTATGCTTTCAGCCCCTTTAACAGAAAAAATACTTATTTCAATAAATTTTGTTTTCTCGTATAGGTTATGATGGGGCTCTGTTGGAAGTCCAGGTTAATATAATATTCTATCATTATTATCAGACACTACATAGTTATTGAAATATATTTATACATAAGCAGATAATTCTTATTGTTCTTTTCTTATACGTGAAATTGCTAGGATGTGTATGATCCCTTGGCTGTTTCTGAATATGCTTGGAATACTTGCAACCTCACTGGCAGTGGTCAACAAAGTGTCAGTTTCAGGTAAATTGGCAACCATCCTGATAATCCGAAACCATCCTGATAATGCGAAACCATCCTGATAATGCGAAACCATCCTGATAATGCGAAACCATTCTGATAATGCGAAACCATCCTGATAATGCCAAACCATCCTGATAATCCGAAGCCATCCTGACAATGCTAAACCATCCTGATAATCCGAAGCCATCCTGACAATGCTAAACCATCCTGATAATCCGAAGCCATCCTGACAATGCTAAACCATCCTGATAATGCGAAACCATCCTGACAATGCTAAACCATCCTGATAATGCGAAACCATCCTGATCATGCTAAACCATCCTGATAATGCCAAACCATCAAGGTTAGAAGAACATGTATCTGTAGCCAATCTAACATCCTGTAGTCCCCAACCGCAGTTGCAATTGTTGTAATAGTCCCAAACCACTCTTGCGTCTTTCATATAGTAGTCTTCAACCACTTGTATCTTGTATCAATCTTTTATTCGTCCCCGATCACTTTCGCAATTATGTTGTAGTAGTCCCCTATCACTCTGGCATCAATTTTGTAGTAGTCCCCAACCACTCTTGCGTCCATCTTTTAGTAGTCACCAACCACTTTTGTAACTATGCTGTAGTTCCCCACCACTATTACAACCACCTTTAAGGTCCTAACCACTGCTATGACCCCCAGCTATTCACCTGCATACACTTTTGCGTCTAGTCAACCACCATTGTTACAACCACCTGGTAGGATCCCCACCCACTTGAACAACCACCTCTTAGACCCAAATCACTATTACAACCAACTTCTTTTTCTGAATTTTCTCAAATCTAGAATAATAAGTTTTCCATCTAGTATATCAACTTGAAAGTGACTAAGAATATTGTCTTGAATAAGAACTTAAATCCTTGAAAATGTGTTTTCTCTCGTGAAATTAATATTTTTTAGATGAATTCTTGAAAAGAATGGATGGTGACTTAGAGAGTATAGCTGCAGAATTACATCTAATGGTAACCCCTTTTAGAATTTTAGAATAGAAATTATCAAACATTGAATAATTCTATGATTTCCTAAAGTTTAAGAAGGTCTATTACAGATATATATTTGTCGAAATAATTTTGTAATTTAGGTTTGTGTACTATGCCTTGTACTATTGCTATGTACCCTGAGCTATCAGTACAGTTGTGTACTAGATATATATTTCCATATTCATCGGAGCTCTAACTTCTGCATTAGGTAAAACGACTTAACCAATTTCATCCCTTCTTAAGAGCATAATGTATCCATTCTAATTGTTAAACATAATAAATTTTGCGAATAATTTTTTTCTTCAGAATTTAAAAAAAATTCTTTTCAGCAAACAAATGATATGTTTAAACGACTAAATAAATAAAGTGGAATAAATAAAAGGAATGGACATACTTTACGCGAAGTTTGAACTTTAAATTCAGAACATTTGTATTGAATATAGGAGGCAAACCTAACCATTCCTTTTTTTTTTTTTTTGTCAAATCTTTTAATAAATTTTTATCAGGGAGAAGGAAGGAAGCGTGCAAGGAAAGGTAGAGAACGGGAATGTATATTCACCTGTGTTGACCGGAAATGTTTTCTCTGACACTGGATTTTATTCTACTGCAACAGGTAAATATAATATTAAGTTAACTATAAATATTGAATGGGTTGATTTGATTTGATTGAAAATTCTGAAAAATAAGTCAACTCTTGCTACCCTTTCATCATACTACATATTTGTCTGGGCTAGGGGGCATAGCGCTGCGGCTAGGTCAGGGTTGCACCGTTGGGAAGTTGCCATTTATGAAAATTCCCTTGGGAATTCGCCACTGGAGAAAATACCATTGGGGAGTTGCCACTTGAGGAAATAGAGTTGCCACTTGGGAAAATACCCTAGGCAAGTTGCCATTTGGGAACATTCCCTTGGGAAGTTGCCGCTTGGGAAAAAGACTTCTGGAAAGTACCTAACATCTATACAATATGATTAACACTTAAATTTAATCCTGTTGTGCCTACGTTTATCTGTATGATTTTAATAATGCATTATCTGGAACTAATTATAATATGACTAATTGAAATAAAGATGATAAAATAATAATAATTAAACATCTAAATCTTTTGCAGAGACTGCCTCCTTCTACGACGGAGGAAGTGGCTTGATTGCTTCTCCGACCTGTTCTCCACCTCTACCCTGCACCTCTGCTCCGTCCTGCTCTCAAACCAGCAGTTTTATTACGATCAATCCAACTGCTCAGCGTCCTGTCAGTTCTCACCAGACCAGCTTTCATTATGAGACCCCAAGCATCTGCACCGAGGAGAACAGGAAGAGCTGCAGCTTTATAGAACAAAACACAAAAAGCAGCAGTTTGTTAGAGCAGCAAACCCAGAGCAGCTGCATTGATGGAGGGAGCAGCAGGAACTCATTGAACACATTCAAGTTTTCATTTGATGATGAAAATTTTACATAAATCAAATCATCTTGATCTCTCTCCTTGACCTTCCTTATTTCTCCCCTAAATATTCTTGATAACTTTTACCTTCCTGATATCCTCTATTTCTTCCCAATATAAACCCTTTAACCTTCCAGTTATTCGTTCTTTGATATCCTCTATTTCTTCCCAATATAAACCCTTTAACCTTCCAGTTATCGGTTCTTTTATATCCATTTTAACTTCCCAATATAACCCTTTAACTTCCCAATATCCACTTCATCTTCCCAATATCCACTTTAACTCCTTAGAACTACTTAATCTTCCTAATATCTATTATACTCTCCTAAAATCCCCTTTAACTTCCAAACATACACTTTAACCTCCAAATATTCAGTTCAGCGTCATAATCTTTTCGTCCCCTTTCCTAAAACCCCCTTAATCCACGTGATATCCACTTTAACTTCCTAATATCCACTTTAACTTTCTTATATCCACTTTAACTTCCTAATATCCACTTTAACTTCCTTTCCTAATATCTACTTTAACTTCCTACTATCCTCTTTCACTTCCTATTATCCACTTTAACCTCCAAATATCCAGTTCAACGTCATAATATTCTCGTCCCCTTTCCTGAAACCCCCTTAATCTACCTGATATCTACTTTAACTTCCTAATATCCTCTTTAACTTCATAATTTCCTCTTTAACTTCCTAATATCCACTTTAACTTCCTAATATCCACTTCAACTTCCTAATATCTACTTTAACTTCCTAATATAAACTTTAACTTCCTAATATCTAATTAAACTTCCTAATATCCTCTTTAACTTCCCACTTTCCACTTTAACTTCCTAATATCCACTTTAACTTCCTAATATCTACTTTAACTTCCTAATATCAACTTTAACCTCCTAATATCTACTTAAACTTCCTAATATGCTCTTTAACTTCCCACTATCCACTTTAACTTCGTAATATCTACTTGAGCTTCCTAATATCCAATTTAACTTCTTAATATCTACTTAAGCTTCCTACTTTTCTCTTTAACTTCCTTATATCCACTTTAACTTCCTAACATCCTCTTCATATTCCTGTTATAATTCTTAACTTCCTGATATACCCTTTAACCTTCTGATACTCACTTCAACTTATTAAAATCTAGTCCAAATTCATAATATCCAATCTGACTTCTGAATATCTACTTGAATATCCAATTTAGCTTTCTGATATTCCCATTTACTTCCAAGTATCTACCTAAATGTTTTTACCTACTGTTCTCTCCTACCTGATATTTCCCTTGCATTTCTTTCCCTCCCAACTTCCCATTTCTCTTTAATTAATTGCCAATCTTATTTTGCCATGCAATACTCATAAACGATATAGTTTCTACCTTTATCAGTTTTGCTATCAGTTTTTTATAATTTTCTTTACTGTTTATACTTCTTTATAGTTTATACAGTGGAACAAGAAAACTGTGGAATGGAAAGACGAGAATCTGTATTTGAAGTTGTTTTAAAGTAAAAAGTATTAACATTGTAGCGTAAAAATCAACTTGTTATAAGAAAAATAGATTCAACACTCACAATTGCTGCGTTTCATGTTCATTGGGATTTTAAGATCATAAATTGAGTTTATATAGTCGTCTTCAATCTTAAATACTAGTTTTATTGGTCTTTCTTGTACAGGGTGTCCCAAAAAAACATGGGAATTCAGTGACGAATTCGATATCGTCTCTGTTATGAATTAGCATTGCAATACCTAATTTCAAAAGAAATAATATTATTATGTCTGCTAGAGTTTATTTTAAGAAAACGGTAAAAGACTGTAAAGATGTGTCTATAATGTCTCCGCAAGATGAATAGTGAAGACGGACAAGTTAACTCTGTTTGTATACTGCAAATTTCTTGTTTTACTAAGTACAACCGTATGCAGTCAAAACATAAACAAACAAATTGTAAACATAGCAGACGAAACTCTTACAGATTACAGCTTTCTCATTAGGTATCACTAAACTAAATCAAAGAAATATTTAAAAAGACGATACCGAATTCGTCACTGAATTCCCATGTTTTTTGGGACACCCTGTACAGTATTTAAATAATCTGTTAATCTTTGACTAAGAGCATTCAAAGAAAATGTTATTGTGAACGATTCTGAAGCCAGCTTTAAAGAATTCTTGATTACCATTAATGTTTCTTTATCTTTAAAAAAAAATCAAAATAAATCTTTAATAACTCGTTACTCCAGTATTTGGTTTCAGTTTTGAACATGTTTCTTTATGTATATAGTGTAAATTTAAATTTTAAGTTTTGCTGAGATGAATTTATGAATAACTAAACAGAAAAATCGATTGTTCAATTCTACTCAGTAACCATGATTAATAGATAGGTGTTTAAGGGGTTCTTTCTTTTAACACGTTGTAAACATTGACTTCATCTATATAATCTCTGATACCTGTTTGTATGGCCGATCATAACTCTCGAACCCGTAGACCGATTTGTCTGACATGTTGATAGGCGAACACGGTAGATGTTCTTTTTCTACATTTTGAACTAATAAGCGTAACAGGAATATTCTTCAGTGGGTCATTCTCATCATCATTTTCATAATTTTGCTATGTAGATATATAGCTATAATGTAGATATATGTAGATATATAGCTACAATGTAGATATATGTATGATATATAGCTACAATGTAGATATATGTAGAAATATAGCTAGAATTGCTTTCTCTTTTTTCACTTAAACGGACTACCAAAATAATTTCAATTGACCCATGAATTAAATATTTACATGGACAATTTACAACAGTACACCTTTAAAGCTTTTGTCTGTGCAAACATGATATTCTTGTTTTTCTTTCTTTAAAACGTTCATTTTCAACTGTGGTTGCTCTGTAAAAATTACTTGCAAATTTATTCAGTAGAAATAAATTATGGTTTCCCAAGATGTAAAACGGCGATATCGTCCTCATTTTTATTGCTCTGAACCAGGCATGTCATTTTTAAATGGAGAGTCATTTGAAATCACGTGATCAGTCCCTTTAAAGTTCAAAGCGAAGTATCTCAAATTTTCATTATGTGTTTTTTAAAAACCTTAAAGGGATTATAAGAGCGCGTAATTTTAAATGATTTCCCATCAAAGACAGCAATGCCCGATCTAAAACGATACCCTTAAAAGCTTTGTCTGAATTAATTAAAATTCTGTGTTTTATTTTTTTTAAACTGTTAATTTTGATTTGTGGGTTCTCTTTAAAAGTGACTTGCACATTTCTTGCTTATAAGAAAAACTGGAGAAATTATCGGGATTAAACCCTGTTTCGAGTTGTCTTCCACATTTTTTCACCAGATTAAGGTTTCAAGGTTACCGTTGTAAATCGGGCATCTTGCCGGAGGGTCATTTGAAATTACGCTTACAATCCCTTTAACTTTCTTTAACTCCCGAAAACAAACCTCTGCAACCCCTGGATGGAATACCGTTTTTTAAGATGTCAGCTTAACTATTTATATACTTACAACAAGAATTAGATACTTTGTTTTCATTTTCACTTTTACCTTCTTCTTTTCTTTACACGATACATAAATAAGTACAATAATAATATATTTTATACAAATTTTACAAAAATATTTTTTGTTACAATATTCAGATACTGTTCAGGCATAATATTTGTTTTTGTTTTTTTAACTTGTGATTTTGTTTTAAAAGTTCTTTGATAGAAAGGAAATGTTACATTTTTTGTAATGGAAATAAAAATAATATAAAAAATTCTTAAGGTTTGTGTTCCGTAAAAAATAACAAAGTTTTTTTTGTTAATTTCAGCCTTGACATATGAAAATGTGAAGGATACTATGTAGTTTCAATTTTAAGTCTATGTCTCCGTACGATTAAAAAATTAACGTTTTTAAAACATTTTTTTAACTTTCAATGGATATAATTTTCAGGTAATTATGCTTTTTTATAAAACAATTATTTTATTTTATTTTTTAGGATTTTTCTTGCTTTTCTTAAACTTGAATATTTTCACAAATTGATGAATAAAGTTGCCTTTTTGCATAAATAAGCTGGATAAAGAATATCACTAAAATATATAACTCCTCGGACCAAATTTTATTAAAAGCGAGGAGTAGTTCAAGGAATAGTTGAGCCACTTGTAGAGACGTGGATAACCCACTAAACTTAACTGTAAATTAGTCCACTTGAAAAGTGGTCCAACTACATCGACTCGATCCTACTTTTTTTTTATTAAATCTGATCCATAAGCCTGAAATTTTAGACACGATATTGTAATGAAATCAGGTATTTAAAATGGAGTAAGACGATTTTGTAGATAACATTATTTTTGTTGAGAATTATTATTTCATGCAACTGTCATATTCTCTTTTCTACTGTAATTCTTACATTTAAATTTACAAAAATACAACAACACCAACTTTTTTATCGATAATACTTCCCATTCTGGTTGGTTTATTCAAGATCGTCTTCATACCTCCGGGAATCCAAGGGGTTTCAGCTTATTCGGAGGTTTACGTTTGAACTTTTGAAAAACTTGAATCATCTCATCCTAAAATATAGTGATTCAAATTCGAATCGGCAGTGGAAGCTCAGCATCGTAGCTCAAATTCACTACATTCGGGTCCTGATAGTGTAAACCTTTAATATTTCAAACTTTGATTATTTAAACTAATAGAATTCATAGTTTGAAATATCTGAAATCTACGACATTGGGTTGCAAAGATATAGAGATTAGAAAATCATAGTTTATATTAATATTGCCCCCCCCCCTCTCTGCTCCCTGCTTGGCAGTAAAACGTTGTAGAGGGTTCGATCCTTGATATACTTTTGAAAGTTTTGTAATTAACCCTGTAACTAGCTAATTATTACAGAACATTTATTATTCTGCAAAAGTTTAGATTATCTTTCATTTATTTTGCAAAGCACATTCATGCACTCAGCCTTGTTATTAAAGCATTTTCGACCTGGAATTCGAAACAATCTAATAAAGTCATGAGAAAGAAAGTATTTGGAAAATATTAAATTCAATCAATCATATTCTAGTCATTCAACAAAAAATTATTTATTAATTCTATTGTTTTTTTTTATAATTTTTAGTTAATTATTTTGACTTATTCTTGTTTATCAGGTTTATCAAGTTTATTGATCTTTTTTCTATTTATTGGAATATATAAAAGTGTATAGTGGATAGAACTCCTTAGTTCTACCTTTATTGGAATATATAAAAGCTTGGTCAATAAACACTTTAACTCACCTTAGGGAAATTTAATATCAGAAAAAATTAGTTATTCCATATACTTTTTGTCAGGGCCCTTCTCCCCTTCGCCCCTCCCTTCTCGCCCCCATTTCTAAAATTCCCCATCGACAATCTTTATTTTCCCTTCCATTGTTTGCTCAACGCCCCCAAATTGTCCTCTTCCCGTGTCATAAACTCGACCCCAATCCCCATATTTCGACGCGTTTTGATCCATCATTTCAAATCCAAAAAAATATAAACGTAAAACTTAACAAACTTGTAAATCACAAAATCTACATTTAATGGATAAAAAATTGGCCTCCCCGCCCATCCTACTCCATCTATGCTTACATACCTATAACAACGTAGAAAAGGCAGGCGACTTTGCCCTAATATTAGATATTATTGGTATAATTACAAATATTAGACAAAACTTTACCACAAATAAAAAATATAACTTCTGACAAGTAGTCTGCAATCATTTCTTGGAATATCCAATGGCAAAATACTAGTGATTTTGTAGATTTGTTATATCTATAGGTAGACACAGTGTTTTATAATACCAACATACATAGAATAAGATTGCAACTAAAACGGAAATTTGTACACTTATTTTAACATTTATTTACAAATTAATTTTTTTTTACATTTAAAAAATAGCAGTGAATTTTTAGCTGATCATACATCCATATTCTGTTCCTGTCTCGTAGATCTACGCATTCTAATCCTTTACGTAGAAAAGGGAAAAATGCATTATGACACATATTTCTGATTTACTTTCTGCCTAATATAATACAAGGCCCAGAGCTGGAGCTCTCTGTTTTTGCAGTTTTCTTTTTCATCCTATTCTTCAATTTGAAATCTTGGGCCATAAATTTCAAATCAATTATAATAGAAAGTTACTATCTGTGTTTCATACAGAGGTGTCAAATTTCTCTGACAAGTTATATTTTGGATTGATGATGCAGCTTCTCGTCCAGTTATTGTTCCATTGTCAGAATTCCGCTATTATAATGACAAATGGGATGAGAAAGATTAGGCAAGGAGTGGATATTTTCGAGAAAAGAATTCTTGATTCATGTAAGTTTAAAATGTGTACACTTATTAAAACCAGTGTAGTTGCCAACCTTGAAACCTTTCATGCAGCCCTGGTCATGAGAATTTGACCTTTTTCCACGTTTTTTCCATTAGTTTTGGAGAAGTGTCAGTTCTTTTTGAAATTTCAAACTATGAATTCTGTTAGATCAAATAATAAAAGTTTAAAATATCTAAGGTTTACACCATCAGGTTGGAAAGATTGATTGAGACTAGAAAATTTGAGTTTCTGGCAAAGACGTAGTTCCTTTAATATATTTTATTTCTTCTCAAAAACTTTTCAATAAAAGGAGTTATGATTGAGAAAATATTTTTATCGTGCGTTTAATTTACTTCAGTTTTATTTCGTATATTTTCTTTTAATGTTTTGTTGAGGCTAGTTGAGCCTATTCCTGTTGTGATTTTTTAACCAAAACTTGATATATTGCAGTATAGATCTAGATGTGGGATTAGGCGTTTACACCAACTGCCTGATGAATGGTCAGGCATAGAGATTAAAAACTACTTTTTTCTTTGCCAAAATCTCAGTTTAAACCCACTTCTGATCTACACCAAGATTTTAGTTCTTTAATTTGAAAAAAATGGTTCGTGACAAAAAAGCGCCAGTTTTGATAAGTAATTTTTCACGCACTCTTTTTCCATTTTAAGTAATTCTGGAGAATTTAGCTTTCATTTACAAATTTGATTTTTTTAATGGAAATACTTATATTTATTTATCATACAATCCCCCTCTCTTACTATTGATCAATCTTATCTCTATATAGGATTATGTTGCATGGCGGGTATTTTTAAACACATAATTCAGTTCCTATTTACACAATATTCCTTTTCTAATACTTCAGGTTTATTATGATATGTTTTATTTCATAATTTCATAATTGGTTGGTGGGTTAACAAATTATCCTGTAAAAGCCTTACACCACTGGGCACTGATTTCTTAAATAATCATTTTCTATGGTAGATATATGGTTTGAAGGGGGAAGGAAGAATGGAACCTTAGGGCCCCCTTACCTAACCCCCCCCCCCCCTCCCCTCAGCCACAAACAATTCTCGTTCCCTTTTTTACTTGCAAACTTTGGCACAAAAATATAAATAACATGTTAAAACTTTGATTATTATTATCGTTAATAAATCATATTTCAAGGGAACTAATAAGATTTTAAATTTCGGGGGAAAAAGCGGACATTTGATTAAAACATTGTAATTTTTTTCTTCTCCATAATATATTTTATTTATTTTTGCAATTTCTTGTCATTATAGACACAGAGATCTAGAAAGCTATGAAAATTTCAATTTCCAAGGACTGCACTGGCCTTTGGTTTTACAGAACTATCTCACTTATACTTTTGTATTGCCCTAGCCCTAGGACTAATAGTTGCTTATTCCTAGCTTCAGTTTATAAATAATAATTGGCAAAATATGAGTGCGTGCATAGTTTTGTTCTATGCAGTGGATCTTTGATATTTCAAACAATGAATTTTGAATAAGTTGGAAATAAGTTTGAAATAGCATAAGTTGGAAATAACGAATGTTTACATATTACAGGTTGGAAAGATATCAGGGTTAGAAAATTAGATTTAAATCCAAGTGTTAATTGTTCCTTTAGAAAAACTTGAAACGAAAATGGAGAAAAACATGAATTCTAATTTCTCCAAGATAATTTTATTTAACGTTTGTTGATTTCGTCCTTTCAAGGACTGTAAGCAGAAGCAAAGACGGCAACATCCGATTCACAACAGTAACCTCTAAACCTGTATCTGATTAATAAAGTGGAAGATATTGTTATTTTTTCCAGGTTTAAAAGTGTTTAATTCTTTTATTTCCTATATGAGGTCACTTTTGTAAAGAAATCACAATTGAAAATAATCAGTTTTTAAAATTATAAACAATGATATCTAATGTCGTGATCCGACAAAGCTTTTCAGTGTACTGTTGTGAATTGGGCTTTGCCATCTTTTCTTGAAGGGCCACTTGAAATAACGCTTACAGTCCTTTTAGCCAGTATCTACCGAAGAAGATATAAATAGATATTCCTAGTCTCATAATATCAAAATATTTGTTTAAATTGAAGTTTCAAATTTAGGATTAGGTTTCGTGCAGATTACAGGTCAGAGACTGTAGTTTACTTAAATGTACATTGTACATACATAGATATAAAAAAAAAATCTATAAATACATGTGAACAAAAACTTTCTTAAAATATTAGAAAGATCTTTGCAGTTTAAGGATTGAAAAAATGTTAGAATCGGTAATTACTAAGAAACATTTGTTTTCCTCTGAATTTTTTGTTCCCAAAAATAATTTACATTGAACTTATAGAAACTAGATTTTTAGGGCGATCTATGCGCATCTCCTAGTGTGCACATGTGTATTGCAAACGTATAGAAATAGAACCTGGTGAAACCAATACCTGAGTTTTGTTCGCAATCCCATCAGTAGTCTCCAGTATTTTCTGTCTATCGAGCACTCGTCGGAGAACCTTCAAACCACTAGTCCTCTGCCATTCACTATACTTCACCCCAGATATTATTGAAGGAGGCCTAAATATAGCAGATAGGTAGATAGGTTTATAGGTAGGTAGGTAGATAGGCAGGTAGGTAGGTAGATAGGCAGGTAGGTAGGTAGGCAGATAGGCAGGTAGGTAGGTAGGTAGATAGGCAGGTAGGTAGGTAGATAGGTTTATAGGTAGGTAGGTAGATAGGCAGGTAGGTAGGTAGATAGGCAGGTAGGTAGGTAGGTAGATAGGCAGGTAGGTAGGTAGGTAGATAGGCAGGTAGGTAGGTAGATAGGCAGGTAGGTAGATATGCAGGTAGGTAGATAGGCAGGTAGGTAGGTAGGTCAACCTAAACAAAGCTTTCGGCCTGTATTGATCTGCTGTACACATAACCGAAGAAATCTAGGGTTTTTGTGGAGAATGAGGTAGATAGATAGTTAGGTAGATATATGAAGGTATGTAGACAGGAAGGTAGGTAGATAGTTAAGTAGGGAGCTGGTAGATAGTTAAGTAGATAGGTAGGTGAGTAGCTTGTAGATAGTTAGGTATTTTATAGGGAGACAGATAGGTTATAGCTAAGTAGGTACGTTAATAGAAAGGTAGGTTTTTAGGTAGTTAGGCATTTACTATAAGTAGCTAGATACCAAGGTTTATATAAAGGTTTAGATGTAGCTAGGTTGGTAGGTTTACAGATGGATAAGGTAGAACAGAAATAAAAAATGCATATTTGTTAAAAGCATAAAATCTAACTTTTGTGTATCTGATAATTATACTGGATAATATCTGAAAGTTTTTATGTTTATGGAAAAGATAAAGAATAGATATCTATGCAAAACTACTTAGGATAATTTGTAAACAATTATTAAACTAAAACAATCCCCTTTTAAACACTTTAAAATATTCCAATTCCCACCTTGGAGGTTTTAAGAGTTTAAAAGTTTCGTGTTTACATTTCAAAACAAATAATTTACCACTGAGAGATAGATAGATAGATGTCGTCATAGTTTATCTGAAATTTTGAACAACGAAAGGGATATTTTAACATTTTCCAGGGTTATAAAATCGGCTGGGCGATGAAAGTAAACATTAAACAAGCAATGAGGAGATAAAAGTTAAAAAAAATAATAAAAAATTATAATTGTTTGATCGAGGGAGGGGGAGGGCGGTATAAAGATATTGCGTTATTACTTGTTTATCATTCTTAACCATAAAAAGTTATTACATTGGAAGAGTTTTTCTATCGTCATCAGTATCCAAAATAATTTACTCTATGGATACAGAAGATAAAAGTTTGAGGGTACCATTATGGATCAGACATGCCACAATATAAATGAAAGGTCACTAAAAATTATTTCTACAATCCCTTTAAGCTTCATATTTTACTTTTTTTTAAATCAAAAATATGTGACTTCCATTTCCACCTTTTTATCTTTTTTTCTTCTTCATTTTTTATAACACTTTGATATATGTAACCATTTACATTTATATAAGATTTATACTTCATTATTTCATGCATCTTTCTTCAATTTGAATTCAATCGTAGTTTGGTCTTAATTCAATAATCTTAAACTTTTTTAAAAAACTTTTTTCTTCAAAACGCATACTCCACCAAAACAAGTACAAAAAGAAAATCACAAGGACAAAATGTTTAATCATTATGGTGGTAAAAAGTTACAAAACAAAATTACTATATTTGCGGACTGAGGTAAATAACAATTTAATCGAAATATTTTGGTTTAGAGTTTACCGGGCATTACTCTACATGTATGCCGAGTCCATTAGCGAGTGCTCCAATCAGGGTTCAGTCATGTGTTTGTTGTCTATTCTGAACCAATAAAAATAGTATTGCGGTAACATCTATCTTTCTATCTATCTCATTATCCAATTAGAGGTATGAATCCTTTGATCGGCGCTATCAGTACATGGAAATATTTACTTCTAATGTAACTATGGTGACATGCATTTTTGAGAATTCCAAATAAAACTGAGATGCCCCGAGGTCAGAACTTTTGAGTTGTATATCTCGGGATCTCCATCTTATTCAGATCTACGGAGTATTATCATTCCTCTTTGATATCCCGTGATGCATGTAATACTCTGAAGGGATAACTTTAATTAATTGATCAGCATTAATCCTCAAATTTAAAATTGCCCACTTTGGATATCGAGATCAAACGTTCAAGTTTAAAAATATAGATAAATAAATAAATAAATAGCTCATGTCCGGAAAAAAATTTAAATATTTTGTCCGCAAAAAATATGTTCATTTTTAAAAAATCAAATAAAAACAGGGAAATCCGAGAAAAAAGTGGCATGGAAATTAGAAAGCAAAGTTTAAAAGACAAAATTATCTTAAAGAGTAGTATAAACTTATATATAAGGAAGAAAACGTTTCTTAGTTGAAAGATTAAAGAATTGTAAAAAAGTAGAAGTTTCTAATTATGACCTCTGCAGAAGAATTTTAAATTGAATTCGTTGTAACAATAAACCCCTGGTTTATATCCCCCCAGCGTGGTAATTACAATAAACCCGGAAAAGATTGGAAAGGTTTCGTGTGTTCAAGAATTACAGAGTGGCAGCTCCTCTGAGCTAGAAATAGAAAATAAAGAATAAAAAGATGGAAATCTAATTAAAAGTTACAAAGCTAAAATTAATAATAAAACTAGCATTTATTTTATCTTAAATATTTCCAAATTAAAACTATTTTGCAAAAAAAATTAAGATTTTTTTAAAGATAAGAAAATTTTCCTAAAACATGTTTGAAAATCAATAGTTCAGATTTGCAAAATTAAGAAAAAACTTTTTTAAATGGTATTCATTTTTTACAAAAAACTACTGCGACAAATCTGATAAAAATGAAATCTGACAGCTCTAGAGCAAAACTTATTCAATTTCCGCAACATTTAGCAGTAGAAGGAGAATCTTTAATCAAGTGCAAAGAGAATCCTGCGAAAATGATTACTTCTCTTTTTCTTTATTCTAACACTGTTTTCCATTGATTCTTTGAAGTTAGATTTAATTTTAAACATTTTAACGAATTTTTTCCAACGATCTCTGATTTTGTAATCCTATATCTTTGCAACATGATGTTGTAGATCTTTTTTTAAACTTTGATTGCTGTTAGATCCAATAGTTTAAGTTTGAAATATCAAAGGTTCACACCACAAGGTTGCAAAGATATAGGGATTAGAATATTTGAGTTCGTGGCAAAAACTCAGTTCCTTTATTTAAAAAAAATGTTAAACCTTAAAATTGTACTTTTCAGTTTACAATACCCACACATCATAATTCAATGGACCAGATACAACGGAATTGAGTTTTTGCCACAAACTCAAGTTTTCTAATCCCTATAGCTGTGCATCCTGATGATGTAAATCTGTGATATTTCAAACTTAGACTATTTGATCTAACAAAATTCATAGTTTGAAATATCATAAGTCTACAACATTGGGTTTTAAAGATATAGAAATTAGAAAACAAGAGTTTGTTGCAAGAACTCATTCCCATTAAAATTGTGTGTTGATGATGGACCAAACCTCATAGTGTTAATAAAGTAGGTTCCACATTTTATTGTAAATATATTTTGGTCTTGGTTGACCCTCGTCAGTTCTGTCATGAAGATTCAATTATTATTCCTTTATCAAAAAGATAATTTTTGGTATGCAACTTTTTTCATTGAATCCCGCTAATCTAACAACTTTTCTAAATAAAAAAGTTTTTAGTGAATCCCTCGTGGGTTTAAATTTCATTTGTTCTAATTTGTCTAATTTCATATTTTTAAGCAGATTATTATATCAGGAATATACAAAGTCTTGATTTATCATTTCATTTCTAACTCAAATATATTTGGTCATTGGATCCCTTTAAACTTAAGCCGAGGGTTTACCTGTATACGTCCTGTGTTGAGCTGGTATCAGATATTAAAGATGCTGGGGTTGGAACATTTTCATTTTCTTCCTCCTCATCTTCCTCCTGTACTTGGGTATTCAAGTATTCAAGTATTCAAGCATAAAAGTATTCAAGTATTCAAGTATTCAAGTATCTAAGTATCCAAGTATCTAAATATCAAAGTATCTAAGTATCCAAGTATCCAAGTATCTAAGTATCTAAGTATCTAAGTATCTAAGTATCCAAGTATCCAAGCAGCTAAGTATCTAAGTATCTAAGTATCTAAGTATCTAAGTATCTAAGTATCTAAGTATCTAAGTATCTAAGTATCCAAGTATCTAAGTATCCAAGTATCTAAGTATTCAATTATCTAAGTATCTAAGTATCCAAGTATCTAAGTATCCAAGTATCTAAGTATCCAAGTATCCAAGTATCCAAGTATCCAAGTATCCAAGTATCTAAGTATCTAAGTATCCAAGTATCTAAATATCTAAGTATCTTAGTATCTAAGTATCTAAGTATCTAAGTATCCAAGTATTTAAGTATCCAAGTATCTAAGTATCCAATTATCTAAGTATCCAAGTATCTAAGTATCCAAGTATCTAAGTATCTAAGTATCCAAGTATTCAAGTATCTAAGTATCCAAGTATTCCTGTAAATCAGTTTCCTGATATAAAATATCTGAGAATAGATCTTGAACTCCTCTCTTGTTAATTTCAATCCTACTTGGAGTATCTCGTACAATCTTATTTCAGCAATAATAATGAATTGAATTAAAATCACATTTTATAAAAATTAAACCAAAGAAAGATTTTCCCCTTGTTTAAATTATTGTTTTCATTATGATTTAATTTGGTTGGTTTAATTTAACTATGCATTTTTAATGCCTATAATTATTACTTTATTTGTAATTACTTTTTGTAATGATCTTGTTCATACTTTTCTTTGTAATATTAGTTTTGTGGAATTTTAAGGAATTGAACACTTTCTAGTTTTCGAATTCTCATGTCGGAGAATACTGATGACGTACATCTTAGATGTTTCAAAAATTTACTATTTTTATATTACAGAATTCATAATTTGAAATTTCAAAGTTCTATATATTCAGGTTGGAAAGATAAGAAGATTGGAAAACTACAGTTTGTGGCAAGTTTTCAGGTCTTTTAAAAGTTTTGTTATTTGCAATCATGAACCACCTCACGTGTCATATTTGTCTTTTTTATCTCTGGATTAAATATTTTTAACATTGTTAGTTTTAAAGGTAGTGTTCGCGAAAAATGAAAGGGGGTATAGACTTAATGCGATAAAAAAGCGCTTTTGATCGCTAACAGATAGTAGTAAGATTAGTAGCGATTAAAAGCGCTTTTTTATCGCATCGAGCCTATACCCCCTTTCATTTTCGCGAACACTACCTTTAAATTAGTTTTTTGTATTATTGTTTGTTCCTGATTTCTCTGTCTGCTCCACCCCTTGGCTGAGGTCGGCCTACTTCTCCGTCCTACCCCAAAAAGACACAAATTATTATTTTTCAAGAATTAATGATTTTTCAAGATTTTGGGGAAAATAAAAAATGGCGTTTTAACGCTTTTCAATACAAACTCTGAAAAAACAGAGAGGCTGGAATTTAGATTTCTAATATACACCTGCTGCAACTACATTTCCTGCAGTAGTCATTTCCTCGTCTATTTTTAACATTCTTGAAAGAAAACTAGAATTTCATGTTTAAATCGGACATTTTATACAACTTTTAAGGGATTGTAGACTGATTTAACTAAATCTCTCTTTACCGACTGGCATGTCCGATTTACAAAGGTTCCTTAAGAATAAAAAGCTACAAGAACGACGATTTTTTAAAAACATTATTTATCAGATAAAGGTTTACAGTGTACTCTTTTGAATCCGGCATGTCTCACTTAAAATGAAGAGTTACATAAAACTACGTCTACAGTTCATTTCATCAAATGAAGAAGAAAAAAATATAAAACTATGGAAAAGAATGTGTTCCTGTATTGTATTTGTTATCCTCTAACCGATGAGAGATACTTGATTCCTCTAACCGGTTGATTGGCACATCTAATAAATGTATAACTGTGTTCTCCTCTAAACTACTGGAGGTACTCCCTCTACTCCTCCTAGTTCTTGTTCTCCGGTAGATCTGGGCATCAAGTACAATTATATTTAATCAAATCCTACTTTTTAAACTCTTGCAAATATTAATAATGAAAATTAATTTTTTTATTATAATGAATTTTCAATCTTCTACGTCCTAATCTTCTTCAATAACCTGATGTTAATTAAACAACAAAGTGCATCCTTCTCTCTAATTATGCAATAAAATGAATTTCCCTCCCATGATTAACATGATTAAAATGTACTCCCGGCACATCCAATTATAACTATGTAATGTGCGCAACCCCTAATTCTAAAGAAGAATGTACTCCTCTCCAGAATTCTATTGATAGAATTTGATGTCTCCTTTCCAATAATGGGTTAATATGAAGCTTTACTCGATATCCCCTTTTATTTACCCCCCCCCCTCTCTACTTCAAAATAACCCCCACTCCCTACTCTCCTCCTCCTCTGATACGAGCCTAATATTTACTCATTTGTAATCCCATGTACTCCTTCCTGGTTATCTGTCTCAATATCCTCCCCTGAGTCATGAGAATGTAGATCTGTTGAACTAAGGTTTTCTGCAGAATTCTCTTCTAGGATTAATCCTTCTATTCTTCCGTTCTCACTCACATAGTGAACTTCCCTGAAATGAATTGGAATTAAAATAACATTTAAAACACCAAAACTCACTTTAAACTTTTTAATGGAGGACATTAACATTGCTTCGAGTGATTTTAAGGTTCATTTTCGATGATTGGAGGTATGTCAATGTAATTGAACACTTGCCACAAACTCTAATTTTCTACTTCCCATATCTTTGCAACCTGAAAGTGTACACCTTTGATATTTCTAACTTAGACTATGTATGTATTTGGTCTAACAAAATTCATAATTGAAATATCCAAGGTTTACTCCATCAGTATAAAACAAATCTCTTAGAAATAATAAGAAATCTCTCTCCAATATTTAGTTCCAAGTGTAATGCAATGAATTAATTAAATATAACTAGACAACTAGACAACCAGACAACTAGACAAATAGACAACTAGACAACTAGACAACTAGACAACTAGACAACTAGACAACTAGACAACTAGACAACTAGACAACTAGACAACTAGACAACTAGACAACCAGACAACTAGACAACCAGACAACTAGACAACTAGACAACTAGACAACTAGACAACTAACAACGAGACAACTAGACAACTAGACAACTAGACAACTAGACAACTAGACAACTAGACAACTAGACAACTAGACAACTAGAAAACTAGACAACTAAACAACTAAACAACCAGACAACTAGACAACTAGACAACTAGACAACTAGACAAATAGACAACTAGACAACCAGACAATTAGACAATTAGACAACTAGACAACCAGACAACTAGACAACTAGACAAATAGAAAACTAGACAACTAGACAACTAGACAACTAGACAACTAGACAACTAGACAACCAGACAATTAAATTTTCCTTAAATTTTCCTTTTTCTACCTTGCAGGTTTGCATGTTAGTAAACTTATAAATAGTTTTAATCAACATAGTCATATCAGTCAGAGAGGGGGTTAACCCTTTTTCCGATATAAGGGTACACAACCTGGTGACCGATAGGATAAGGTTTAAGGAAAAAATATAATAATAATAATAATTAGAATAAAGGAAGGGATAGTCGACCAATATTTCTTCAAGTTTTTATCAAACAGCACAATTAGTTGTTTTTGTTTGCAACTTATCCAGACTTTTCTTAGAACACTTTCCTTAACCTCTAAACTTCTAATTCCTATATCTTGGCAACATGATGTTGAAATAGCAAAGGTCTACGACTTTACCGAGTTATCAGTTCCTTTACAAACAGACTAAAATAGACTAAAATAGACTAAAATAGACTAAAATAGACTAAAATAGAATAAAATAGACTAAAATAGACTAAAATAGACTAAAATAGAATAAAATAGACTAAAAAAGACTAAAATAGACTAAAATAGAATAAAATAGACTAAAATAGGCTAAAATAGACTAAAGAACTCGATTAAAAAGCAATGGTTAGTGATATTGGAATAAATAGAGAAAGTTTTGAGCATCGGTTTTCTTCGTTTTTAAACATTTTAGTTTTTTTTTGGTTTCCTGAGGCTTTATAAAATATGAGAAGTTCCATTAATTTTAAAATTGTATGTTCAAAAAATTATTTTTTTTTCACTGTGCACAATGTTAATTCTGACGTAACATACTGGCCTATATGATTTCTCAAATCGGTAAATAACAAACAATTGGGTTTTCTTCGTTCAATGTATATATCATTTGTCTGAAAATTTTGAATAATTTAATAAAACATAGGATGCCCGTTACTTAATATAGGAACTAAATAAATATAATTGTTTGATAATTTACTTTTATTTGTAAGTTTATTAGTTATGGGTTGCATATCTTTTATATTTCATTGTGCCAACATTTTGAAAATCTAAGAATATTTTATGAGTCAATTCAGTCAAATTTTTCAAGAATTCAAAATAATACAGAGAACAATGATATCCATGCATCAAACTAAATAATTTTATTCAGTTCAGCCCCCCCCCCCTGTAGTCTAGATGGCTCCAACCTGAAAGTTTTCAACTCTTCCTAAAGTATTATTATGCCTGCAGAACTCAAGAACCAGGATTAAAACAATGACGTCATGAATAAAACACAAATATTGCAAGTAAATTGCTGCACAAAAACCATCTAAATAAACATTAATGCCGGGGTTGCAGGAATATTTTCCGGACTATAAAATATCTTTATGTAGACTAGTATTTTAGGGTAAATGAAATATATTAGGGTACTGCAAGGAGAGGAACCAATAAATTCCTAGCATAAAAAATATATTTTTTTCATAAAAGCATTAACAATAGCATAATTCACGATATATTTTATTTTTCAATGATATGAAAGGTTTTAAATATAACTGTTTAAGCAAATGTCACTAAACAAGTTAGATATATGATGTCTGTAAATCCGTAATTAAAAATATTAGCAGATAATACTCTTAGATTAATATACTTATACAGCAGGGATAATAATATACACCTAGAGCAGGGAAAATAATATACTCCTAGAGCAGGGATATTAATATACTCCTTGAGCAGGGATATTAATATACTCCTTGAGCAGGGAGATTAATATACTCCTTGAGCAGGGAGATTAATATACTCCTTGAGCAGGGAGATTAATATACTCCTAGAGCAGGGAGAGTAATATACTCCTAGAGCAGGGATATTTATATACTCCTTGAGCAGGGATATTAATATACTCCTAGAGCAGGGAGAATAATATACTCCTAGAGCAGGGAGATTAATATACTCCTTGAGCAGGGAGATTAATATACTCCTAGAGCAGGGATATTAATATACTCCTAGAGCAGGGAGATTAATATACTCCTAGAGCAGGGAGATTAATATACTCCTAGAGCAGGGAGATTAATATACTCCTAGAGCAGGGAGATTAATATACTCCTAGAGCAGGGAGATTAATATACTCCTAGAGCAGGGAGATTAATATACTCCTAGAGCAGGGATATTAATATACTCCTAGAGCAGGGATATTAATATACTCCTAGAGCAGGGAGATTAATATACTCCTTGAGCAGGGATATTAATATACTCCTTGAGCAGGGAGAGTAATATAATCCTAGTGCAGGGAGATTGATATACTCCTTGAGCAGGGAGAGTAATATAATCCTAGAGCAGGGAGATTAATATACTCCTTGAGCAGGGAGATTAATATACTCCTTGAGTAGGGATATTAATATACTCCTAGAGCAGGGATATTAATATCTACAAAGAAAGAGACGTATTTAAGCCTAGATCAACTAAAAGGAAGCACTATTCTCTTTGAAAAAGACGAAATATGATTGTAGAGCACGGAAGACCTGTAAGTTTGTTTAAGAGCAACAGATATTTAACTGCTCCCAGGTAGTTGGGACGAATGAGAAGAGTAACTATGATACCTAGGTTCAGAGTCGAGGTTTACTTCTGTGATCATTCTATCTCCGTCGGGATACATTTCTACACTCAGGGTACGGAAAACAATTGGAGGTTTAACGCCGGAGGGGGGCGGGTGTAGGTTTAGTAGATTTTTATTTTTCCCAAGGGGGAAGAGGAGGTATAAACACAAAATTTATCTTTAAAACAAATTAGTTCTTAAAAATATCGACGTTTAAGACTTTAGATTTTTTGTAATAAAACATACCAACATTCGTGTTTATAGAGAAACATTTTTTTCATTACAGTACACTATACAGGGGGATTTCAGGGGAATATTAATAATAACAAACAGTAACGTACTGCTAGAACTGTCAACATTATCTAAGAAAACCACAAGCCGACTTGACTTTTAATTAAAACACGAATCTCCAAAATAACAAGAAAAGCTTACCATTCCAGGAAAGGGTGAAACTACAGTACAAATAAGGGTTCTTTTTTTTGATAAAAATACTTAAATCCATCTTGCACCAGTCCTAAACTTTTCTTCAAAACACTTTTTAAAGAAAAATTAACAAAATGTTTTCCCAAATTATTAAGAAACCTTAAAATCGTAAAAATCCTATAAAAATGAAAATATATAAACAAACCCCGTTTTTTCTTTAAATCAAACAATCTTGAAATATCGAAAAACGTGCAAATGGACAGTATTCAGCGGTTGTTTTCTTCGATGGATGTTGCTTTATAATTTTGCCATTTTCGATAAAAAAAGTCTCAACGATATTCAAAGGACACTATTTAAAAATAGCGAAAATAGTTTAGCTGCTTATACGCGTAGTTGAATTACATCTCTTGTGAGCCGGTTCAAGTAGAAGTTAAACTAAAGGAATTGAGTCTTTGCAACAAATCCCAATTTTCTAATACCTATATATCTACAACCAAATTATGTAAACCTTAGATAGAGGGATTTAAAAACCAGAGTTTGTGGCAAAGACTCAATTTCTTTACGTGGTTCTACTACGTCTCGCCCTGTATTGAAACTCGTCCCAGATACAAAAACTTTCTTCTCAGAAATATGTAAAAAAAAAATGGAAAGTTTATTAATTGGGAATTTTAATTCATCAGATGAAATAGATCATGCATTTTAAAGCTTGAGATTATAAGAACAATATATATTTTTTATATCTGAATGTTTGAAATTAGATGAATAATAAAGAACAAGCTTTAGAGCCAAAATATGTACCGAATTTTTAATATGATATAACATTCGAAAGGAATTGAGTCTTTTCCTGCTCTAGGAGTATATTACTCTCCCTGCTGTATAAGTATAAATTCTGTTATATCAAAAATTAAAATTTTGAAATTACAAAAATTACCCAATTTAGAACTGCGAGATGAGAGAGACCCTGAAGTAATAGTATTTTAAAAATCTACATAAATGAAATTAATAAATAGAAAACCATATTCCCCATGTTGTAACAATCCCTTTCATTGTATTACAGTGTGTAGCCCATCAGCTGTTTTTTATTCTTATTGACAAAACAAAACAAATATTTAATTCGTAATCCTAACTTGTGTAGAGTGTAGAGTGTAGAGTGTAGAGTGTAGAGTGTGGAGTGTAGAGTGTAGAGTGTAGAGATGTAGAGTGTAGAGTGCAGAGTGTAGACTGTAGAGTTTAGAGTGTAGAGTGTAGACTGTAGAGTGTAGACTGTAGAGTGTAGACTGTAGAGTGTACTGTATAACTGTATAACTGTACTCCTAGTCTGAGTAACATTGATAAAGATATTCTTGTTTTTCTACCTGAATATTGTTTAATTTTAATTGTGGTCTTTCTCAAATAATTTATTTATATTTAAAAAACGTGGATTTATATATTTATTCAAGAATTAAAATGGAAATAAAGCCGAGTTTCCTCTACGGAGTTAGAGACGGAATCTGCGGAGGTGTCGAGTTCTTAGGTAAACAGAGTAAAGGAATTCAGTCTTTGTTACAAATTCAAATTTTATTATTCCTATATCTTTGCAACCTGTTGGTGTAAACCTTTGATACTTCAAACTCAGATAGTTAATATAGCAGAAATTATCGTTAGAAATATCAAAGGTTTACGACTCTGGTTGCAAAGATAAGAAAAATTCTGGGTTCGACGATTCGCGCTCATTATGGGGAATCAAAAATTATATTATAAAATGTATCAATCCAGGAAAATAATTCATATTCCGCCACACACTCTGAATAACACCTCAAAACTGATTTTTTGTTTTATTCAAATTCTTTTTTAATAAAATCTTGATATCCCTCCTTCGGGGAATTCTAGCAAAAAAAAATAGAATTTATTTTTCAATTTTTTTAGAAGACTATAAATTGATTTATAAATTTATTTAAAAGACCCAAGCTTTTTGTATGTTTTATTTAGGAGACTCTAGCTTGATGTATCTATCTATGCTTGATGTATCTTTCTATCTAGGGGACTCTAGCTTTATGTATCTATCTATCTATCTAAGGGACTCTAGCTTGATGTATATATGAATCTAGGAGACTCTAGCTAGATGTATATATCTATCTAGGGGACTCTAGCTTAATGTATCTATCTAGGGGACTCTAGTTTGATGTATCTATCTAGGGGACTCTAGCTTTATGTATCTATCTATCTAGGGGACTCTAGCTTGATGTATCTATTTATCTAGGGGACTCCAGCTTGATGTATTTATTTATCTAGGGGACTCTAGCTTGATGTGTCTATCTAGGGGACTCTAGTTTGATGTATCTATCTATCTAGGGGACTCTAGCTTGATGTATCTATCTATCTAGGGGACTCTAGCTTGATGTAGCTATCTATCTAGGGGATTCTAGTTTGATGTATCTATCTATCTAGGGGACTCTAGCTTGATGTATCTATTTATCTAGGGGACTCTAGCTTGATGTATCTATCTATTTAGGGGACTCTAGTTTGATGTATCTCTTTATCTAGGGGACTCTAGCTTGATGTATCTATTTATCTAGGGGACTCTAGCTTGATGTATCTATCTATCTAGGGGACTCTAGCTTGATGTATCTATTTATCTAGGGGACTCTAGCTTGATGTATCTATCTATCTAGGGGACTCTAGCTTGATGTATCCAGCTGGGGCTGGAATTGCGAAGGTTTCAACCAAAGATTTCTCTCAGGAAATAATTCCATTAGTTAACAAGGTAAACAAATGTGATATAACTTTGCTTTTAAATAGAAAAATTGAAATAAACGATAATTACTGATGAGTGATACCAAGAAAATTGATTTATGAAAAAAATTATTGTTTTCGATCATGTTTAGTTGTAAAATAAACAGTGATCTTGCAGTTTTTAATGATTAATATTGTTTAAGTTACAATACTTACAATTTTAATAATGTCTTGGACGTTCGTTCGTGAGCCAGAAACTTTTTAAAGTATGCCACAAACTCTGATTTTCTAATCCCTATATGTTTGAAACCCAATGATCTAAGATATTTCAAACTACGGATTAGTTTAGATCAAATAACCTAAGTTTGAAATATCAAAGGTTTACACTATCAGGTTGCAAAGATATAGGAATAGAACATTTAAGTTTGAGGCAAATACTCAATCCCTTTATGAATTCAGGGTAAAAGGATTACAGCTATCGGAGTAAACCCAACCCGGAAATTGATTGCGTTCTCCGAGTACGGAGAGAGACCTCTGCTCATTATTTTCGACCTGGAGACAAGGAAGAGAAGGAAGATTCTACGCTGTTCAGAACTCAAAAGTTTTGAGGTTTAGAACTTTTTTAGTTATGCGCAAGGCCAGTTTACAATAGTGGGACAAATCTATATTGATTCTCAACCACCTTCATGTTTTCCTTACACGATCAAAATATCACCTGCATGCAACCTTATTATTTAATCTAATGAAAGATAAACATTTTTATTTTCTTTTATTTTCTTTGCAACCTTTGATAATTTAAACATAGATTTGTTCATGGTAGGAACTATCTAAGGTCTCCAACAGTTTCAAAAATATATATAGAGATTAAAAAATTTGAGTTTGTGACAAATACTCAGTTCCTTTGGATTTTTTGTATCTGTCTGTTTGTGCCCAATAAACGACAAAACGGCTGAGCCGGTAGAGCCCTTATTATTATTGGCTACACTGTTAGAAAAACCCGCTTACAATCAACAGTATTCAGTTCACGCACCAAGCCATGAAGATCCGTTGTAATATATCAACGATAATTCTGC